GGTTTGGACCACCTTGCTGCCCAGTGAGACCCAGCAAGACCCACTGGTGATGCATCCCTCAGCAGCAACAGTCCTTGGCAGGGGCAGGAGAAAGCAGGAGCCTCCAGGGACACTACTGACAGAAAAGGCCTTGCTTTCTGTCTCTACCAAGGCGCAGCCCTAGCACCAGATTTTTTCCTGGGATGGGATCAGAAGCAGCTGGCCAGCCCGTGCTCTCTACGCCACAGCATGGCATGCCACTGCTGCTGCTCCCAGCACGGGCTGTGTGTGAGTGAGTTCAACAATATGTCCTAGTGTAGGGAAGCACCCTGTGGTGGGGATGGAGACAGGCACCATGGAGAAGACAGCATGAGGGACCATCAAAGAAAGCTCTGGAGGCATTGGGAGAGCAGCCTCAGAAACCTGTGCCCCCAGCACCCCACCTTACTGTCTTTTTTTTATTCCCCAAACCAATGTTAATTTCAGAGGAGGATGACTTTAAAAAAATTGAACAAGCTTTTTTTATCCATGACCCAAACAGTTATATCATAAGAGTCGTTGCATAACTACAGTACACCATTTCTCTTACAATAAGTTTTAACCTGCAGCAATAGCACATGCAGTGGCTGGGCAGGGATTTCTGAAAGCCTCTCCTGATTCATCAGAGTATTTTGCTATCCTCAGTCAGAAAGCAAGAGGGCAGCAACTGCCAGTTTAACCATGAGTACAGTTAATTAGACAGCAAAGTCATAAAGCTGTGCCCGGCAGCAAATGGCCTTGTTTGTATATAAAAAAAAATTGCCAGAACTAAGGTCACTGTTTTAGTACTGTGATAGTTTAATGACACTGCTTTGTTTTGTGCCAACACTCAACATAAAACTTGGCAGACACCTGGGAGGATATTTACAATTAATAGAAACCAAAGCAGCTCCCTCTAACAGTCAGGTAGATATAACTGAGACTTTGGACGGGTTTTAGGAGACTGCATTTTCAAGTTTATGACCAGAGCTGCTGTCGCACCACAGTAACAAATTTAAAGAGACTGAAAAAAAATCCACACAATGTTCACTTACAGTGCAAAGAAGCCTGAAAAGATGGTCAAACGTTTCTAGAGGAGAGCAAATATAGCAAGCCATTGTACAGAGCAGTGATGTAGGAGTGACAATGAGTCCTAGGAAGGGAATGGCTGATGAGGAGTTAGGAGGAGGATGGAGGTACCAGCAAGAACCAAAGGTTGGGAACCTGGGACAGAAGAGTACAGAAAAAGAAAGTATCTCCTGGTCAACTGAAGCAGTCTCCTCTCCTCTAACAGGGCTCATGGAGGCTCTTCAGTTCTGGCATCAACTAGGTGAGGTCTGTTTCCACACCTTTGTTTCAGATGTGCTGAGACTCTGTCAGACAGGCCCCTCAGCATCCAAAAGTTTTGTTTGGACAGGGGATGTTGGGGTGCAGCTGTCAGGACTGTGGCTTATGAGTCAGAGCTGGAGGAGACTCGCTACCAGCTCTGCTCTGTGTTTTGTAAAGGAGACTACTGCAACAGAGGAGACAATGCCAAGCCAACCTGTTGAGAGGGATATGTGGGAGCAGGACCATTGATGCAAGGTTGGGTAGTGGCCTATGTAACAGGACTAATTTTTTTCAACTTGGGCAGTTTGAAGCAGGACTGGCCAGATCCATGGCTGTTATCCCTGCCGCTGGAGATGTTTTGTGCTCCCAGAGCTGCTGTAGTTGCTTGTGCTTTGGGAATTGCGGGAGGGAGAGTCCCTTTGAGCAAGGAGTTTCTGACCTCAAAACAGTGTGAAAATAAGTGGGGGTGTGGGCGTTATCCCCAGAAATCCTGGGCTCCCACCAACCAGCACAGACTCGGGGGCAGGGATCCAGCAGCGGTGGCCAGCACTTGCCTGAGAGTGGCTGCTTGTGGTAAACAATCACTTGGATTCACAGCACAGGTTGGCTGAGGGAAGCCCTGAAGGTCACAGAGCTTGTCCCTGCCCCATTTCCCAGTCTGGGTTGAGGCACTGTCCATGTGCAGTTTCTCTGGGTGTGCTTTCAGACACCTGCTCTGACCCCCATCTTATTATGAACGCCCATATTAAGTCAGCAGGCTCCTGGTCAGAGCACTCTTCTGGCCCAACTCTATGCTTGATCCTTTCAGGCTGTTCTACCTCCTTATAAACTCTGCATACAACTGTTTCGTTGTTGCTTTTCCACTCTCTGTGATCCCATAGCAGACTTTTAAGCTGGATTTCTTGGTTAAGAGGTGTAAAAGCCAGGTTCTGGATAGACCAAGAGTATGGTGCCAGCTACAAGAGGGGCCTGGGAAAATTGAGAGAGAACAAGAGAGAGATTGATTCAGTAATTAACTTTGAGCCCAGTTGGTGAGAAGGCACAGGATTGGCCCATTTGTATTATTCACATTGATGCTGCTTGCCTGTATATGGGTGCCTGCAAAGGTGTTGCTCTATGTCTGCACTGATCTGTTTGCAACAGGCTTGTCCTGGGAATGAGGAAATGCAGCCACCACCACCATGCCTTCCAGAATTTGGTCATTCAGCCCAGCAGAAGGAATCTCCTGTGTGCTACAGTCCAACAGTTGTCTGAAACAAGAAAGCACCTGTTTTAGGGGGCCAAAGCTGTCATTTAATGGTCAATTTGATGTCCAAAACAGCTCCAGCTGCCCTTCAATTTACTTTCCTTAATTATTTGTCTGAAAGTTTTTTGTTTAGCAGTACTTCAAAGTGTATTTGTCCAGCTGGTGACTAAATCCACTTGGAAGTCAAACTGGGATTTATCATGGCCAAACCATCTTTCCCATTCTCAGACACCAGTACCCCTTGATGGGAATGTGGCATGACCAGATTGTGCGGCACAACCCTACATGGGTAGGAAGGGAGGGACTGGTGGAAATCGTCCCCTCTGCCTGTGAACCAGATCCTTGCTGTTCTCTCAGCTCAGAGGAGAGCAGGGATAAAATTCACTGGTAGACCATTATTAACGTAGGCAGAGCATCACGGCACCTTGGAAGCACCTGAGTTCATGGATGGGTGTTGTGTGTAAATACTAATCCTCCACTGAAGGCTACAGTGCCTCACCCTGAAATGGCAGATAATGACCTAGCACCTTTCCTGCCCACAGGCCACTTCAGGTGCACTCCATGCACTTAAACATGGGGTGCAACCCTCTGGATATCCAAACAGCCCCTTGTGCCCCAGATCTCTCCAACAGTGAATTCCCGGGTCATCTAACCCCCAGCTAGGAAGCTCCTTCACTTGCACTTTTTTCATTCTTTCCCTCTTGCCCTTTGGCAGTCAGAGCACTCTTTTAAGGCTTAGATAAAGGTTTTTTACGCCTCCCTGCACATGGGAAGGGCTGAGGATGTCCCTTTACCCTCATTAAGTGACTTTACAAGAAGCCTTACGTGGCAGCTGCATCACAGCACACGTCTGCTGGCTGCCTCCCGCGGGCAGGTTGGAGGGCTATGCCCACAGCTGCAAGGAGATGTCTGTCACATGCGATGCCAGAGCCTCTACCAGTGCTCTAAGAAGGAGGATCATAGTTCTGTCACTGCCTGCTTCTTCCCAGTTGCTGGAGAATTAGACCATACTCTTTTTCAGGACTCTCGGTGAGGATGAATTTTTTGCTCCAGTCTCTTGAAATTCAACAAAGTTCCCCTAGCTCACTGCATGCTGTTGTCTCACAAAGGTGTACTACAAGCCCACCTGCAGCATTTGGAGGGACTTCACATTAAGCACCCACAGTGATTTCCCAAGTCCTCCAGGTACATGTGTTTTACCTCCTGGACAACCTGTCTGGCTCCTGTAATTGCATATTTTAGATAGGTGCTGGGTCGAAAAGGAGTACATACAATGTGAAGAGCAGTATGTTTTAGTGTGCCACACCACCACTAGGGCCTGAAGAATGATTAAGTGGAAAATGCTACTTTGCTTACAGAGAAAGGACATTTTTTCTTCCATTTTAAGGCAAGCTAGTAGGTATAAATCTTGGTTAAATCATGCACATTTCAGGTTTGGGTGCTTTTTCTTTTTTTTTTTTTTTTTTTTTTTTTTTTTTGTTTGTTTGTTTGTTTTTTTTGTTTTTTTTTCCTTCTACATAAAGGTCAATATTTTGTTTGCTTCCCCTCTTTTCTCAGAACAGTAGTCCTGAACTGAGCTTTTCTATGTGTTTTTCAAATGTGGTTTTAGCTGCTTCAGAGCTTGATTTGCAGCCCAGCAAGGAACAGCAAGGTTTAACCTGAGACGCTAGGGCAAAAACATGCCCGCCCCTGTTCTACAATCAGTTGTTGAACACAGGGGGGAGAAACAATCGCTCCATCCCAGAGAAAGGGTTACTGCAGCAGGGACATCCTAAGTGGAGGTGTCAAGCTGATGGACCCCATCATCCGTGAGAGGCAAGCCAGGAGCTGACGGCTCTTGACCTCCAGGGTGGGACAGGGTTTCTGGGCTCTGCTCCCTGGACAGCTCTTCCTCTTGCCCCAGCTGACCCCCTCCAAGCCAGGCTCCATGGGGTCTGGCCCTTGGGTTGTGCAGGCCAGGTCTACCACTGCTCACCCAAGCCAAGCACAAGCATGGGCCTGTTCCCCACAGCCCGAAAACACCAGATGATGTGTTTCTAGAGGAGTGCAAATAGGGCAAGCAATTGTACAAAGCAACCTTGGAAAATCTGGATCATCATTAAAGTAACTCACAAACCAGAAATGCTTAATACACTGTCATGCTATCACAGAAAGATTTTACCAGTTGCAGTAAGTTCTACCCACAGAAATAAGGGCTCTAGAAGTGCTTGAATGTTTCAGGGGTCAAACTTAAGTGTGTAGGTGTCATCTTAGAAACTACAAGTTAGGAAACAACACTACTACAACACAGCCACCCTCTAAGGGAGCATGACCCAATCTCAAACAGCAAGGCTACAGTATAAAAGCAGTGCCCAGCTGAAACTAAGTACGCTTCTCTCTGCAGAAGGGTATTTCACTATTTTTACAGCATGACTACTCCACAAACATCCAGGGTAGAAGAGATGATGTATTTTTCACAGACAAATTCTAGTTACAGATCTCTGGAACTTGTAAATAATACTCAGAATACAGAATTTCAAATCAGTGCAAAATGTACAATCAAATTAAACACAAAACACATATTGCAAAATATATATATAATTTTTCTAAGAACATAACCCAAGGACAATCAGATGTTTAAATATAAGAGAAAAGTCCATCTTTTATAAATTACTTTTTTTTTTTTTTAAACCAATTAGTATACTAGGTGTGTTATTTGTAGACAAGTTACCGCAGCATAGTGATTTGCAAGGCAGACACTGAGAAACAAGTTACATCATTAAAAGTGTGTTTCTGAGACCAATCCACAAGTAAACATGTGTGATAATGCATTATTGTTTTGAGGCACACAATGTGGAAACAGTTTTCAACCACTTCAATGCTTATACTTAGGCTTTTTTTTTTTTTTTTTTTTCTGAGAATTATTAGGCAGATGCACAAAGAATAAGCACTAGACAATAATTAAACTGTTCAATGGTCTGCTTACCTTAGCTTGTTGGGGCCAGGATGTTTTATTACCAATGTATTAGAACATTCACAAGAAACGCTATAAGACATCTTAGAGTATCTTGATCTTAAAATAGCATTCATAAAGCTGATTGAAATTGGACGATTTAAATAGAGGTGAAAAACACAGTTATTCAAGCAATAGTTAAGCCATAGTTTGAGAAGACTTAAGACATCATAAGTGGTTCATAAATTGGAGGGACGCTGAAATCTATAGTGAATTACAAACTCTCTGATGCTTTGCATTCAAAGCAGAAAATGATCCTTTCCAATAATCAGAACTTGTAACTTCAAGGTATTGATTGCTACTATCTACACCATTGCTAATTAAACTATCCCAAAGATAACTTGCTTTTGGTATGTACAGAAAGCTGGAGTTATACAGCTATTGCTATGCTACAGATCCCCAGAATTTTGCTTTAAAATAGCAGTGAAGGCTTTGTAAGCACCTAAAATTACACAATAAATACTCAGCAATTCTTCAAGCACCTCTTGCTACCCAATTTGGCAAGATCAGCAGCACAAAGTAAGGGATGCCATGGCGAGGCAAGCTGTTATCTGTCTGACACAGGCCCATGTCGATTTGCGCCTTCCTTCCTTCAGAAAGCAAAAGGACGAATGTGAGGCACACCCTGCGGACAGCGAGGGAGGGCTGGAAGTGCCCAGCAGTCACCAGACTTGTGACACTGCTGCAGCCAAGCCCAAGGCCAGGCTATCCACTCTTCAACCTTCAATTCCAACCACTCTTCCACTCTTCAGTTTGTAAGGGGGGAAAAGTTCTGCCTTCTACAGCTGATGTGTATACTAGGAGTTGCCACCAGGGGTGTAATATGGGATAAGCACAATATAAATGAAGCCACATCTTCTGAAATCAAGTTGTCTCCTAAATAACACACTTGAGGTGTGCACAGTGACATGTTAAATAGGGGTGCTGCTAGGAGAGTTCAAAGGGATTACTACACCAGTAACAGTGCCCTATTAAAAATACTTTGCTTTGGGATGCATTTTTAGTATCTACACACATTTATTTCAATACTTCAACTTTTTCAGCAATGTTGATCTGCTTATAAAACATCCTCATAAATTATCTTCACAAAAAATAAGGTCAATCTTTCGGAAAACTTGTTCAATACAACACTTGTATCAATAGAAGTTCTGTCCTATGAGTCCATGGCAGAAAAGTCATAATCTGCATTTAAATCTCTCCAAAGGGACATCACCAGGAATCTAAACCAGAAGGCAACTATTTCATTAATTATCACAGGAAGCAGAAACAATGCAGAAACATGGAAAGAATACACTGTTTCAACCAACAGGTATGGATTTACAATCAATAGTCACTGTCCTGTAAACATTGAAACTGCTGGTCTAACTGCAGGTTAAGATTAGTAATTTCCATTCATTTCACTGCATTCCACACATACAATGGCTACACTGTTAAAAAAAAAACCAAACAAACAAACCCCAAAACATTAAATAGCAAAAGGAATGAAGGCTTTGAGCTGGATCTCTCCTACAAGCCGTGTCAAATCAGTAAATGTCTACATTATAAATAAAACTTTAACATTACTTTTATGTATTAAAAAATCAGTCTAATAAACCTAAATCTTAAAATAGCAGCCAATCTAGAATTGTTTAAAAATATATATGAACTTTCAGTCAGCCAGCTATAAATGCACACTGTGATGGGAGGAAGATACCATCTCTCATTACCAAGCAGGCTTTCAATGAGAACACTGTATTGGAGATGGATGGGGATCAAAGAACACTGCAGTCAGAGAAACTCCTGAACAGTTGCATTCTACTAACTTGTTTTCACTATTACATGAAAGTGCATCTTTGTATCTGTAGAATCATCCCCATATTTACAAAAAAGTACAAACATTGCAATTTTGCCACACTCTAAGCCCATCTAACTTGCATTTTTCTGTTAAGTGCAAAAAGTGTATGAAGTGATACATGCACTGGTGCATATAGGATCAAAGCCTGAAAATGAGGCAACGCTGTCTCCGTGAATCCAAGGTAGTTCACTAGTTGCTGAGACTTTGCTGCACAGATGTGAAATGGCTGAAGTAGAAGCTGAAGTAGAAATTAATGAACTGTCTAAGCCCAATAGCCAGAGTGCTGTTTTAGAGCAGGATCTCCATTCCCCTGCCCTCCACACACATTCAACACCACATACTTGTGCTTTTGTTAGCAGTTTTGGTATAAAGGCTGAGCCCAAAGGGCAGGAAGGCAGCCTAGCAGAAGAGGAAAATGCACAGTTACTGTGAAGGCTCTAAGGAAGAGGTATGAGGTGCAGAACTAAGAAGAATCTACTGCCAGGTCTCTCCAGGGCACAACTCCAGTGCACCCCCCATATCAGTGCTGGAGAAAGGACCAGCAGCTATGCAACACAGGGCATACCTGCTCAGCCAGTCAGTATGTTATAAAATACCTATGCAGCCCAATCTGTTGTGTCTGCAACATAAGTCCTTTTCAGTGTCACAATAGCTCCTCTTACCTTATCCTCCCTCAAAAGGAGGCTTTATCTGACAACGACACATTTATATGCCAAAAGACTGCTGCAGAGTGATGTGCACGCATAAATGCTTAGCGATTCCCAACAGCTGATATTCAAAACAAGTACATTGTTTGCTCTTTAAAGAAATGCAATCTGTACAATACTTGTAAGAGGGTTACTGTGAAGATTAATGAACAATTGTCTATAACAGTTAATTTAGTTTTGTTCCTTATTTAAGTCTTGCAGTGCACTATGCTACAGCTTCTAGTTTTTAAAATGCGGCAATAGCCATTGCCATCGATTTAAACACAGAGAGACTTGATTAAAATCTAGAAAGATCAAGAGGACCTCAAACTGTACACGTGCAGAGAGTATTCTAAACACAGTTGTGCTTTCACTATATTGCCATCATGTCTTGTTGGAATGCACATGTCCAGCAGAAATACGTGCTGGGAACCTCTGTGGAACCAGTAAGAAAGCAAGCTCTGCGTCCTGTCCAAAACCGGTGAGAGAAAGCTTCAGAAGTGAGTGCTATCATAATGTTGTAACACAGCGAAAGCTGTACAAATAGGCACTGAGAAAGCCAATACAGTAAGGAGGCCCATTTTTAAAGGGTGTGTGCATATGTATGTATACACTTACATGTACACACACATATATGTAAATAAACAGAAAGGTTTTGGCAAAATAACACTGTTTAAAAATCAATGCAGTGAAAACATCTGCAATTTAAGCTATACACAAGTGTAAAACCATGAGGAAAAAGCAGCAACTTTTCTGAAGTAGCACCTGTATCTCAGTGATGAGCTTTTGAATTTCAGTTCTCCTAATTCAAGACAGAGGTAATGTGTTTACCAACCAAAACAGATTTTAACCAACTGACCACCTTCTCTTGTCTGCAAGAGTGGGGTGTTTGAAACGCATCATGATGTTCAGGACCCTTCTCTCCCCATGCTGGCAATGCCCAGCAGGACACAAGTAAAAGGTCAGGAGCAAGTATCTCAGCAGGAGAGATGCTAGCTGTGCTACTGATGCCTGGTAGCTTGGCTTTGCTTGGCAAAGTAAAAAGGCAGGGCAGTGGAGAGACGATGAAGGAGTGTGCTCAGGATAGCAACGAGCTTGCATCTCCTCCCTCTCTACAGATTATAGTTCCTGGTCCTGTGTCTTTGATGTTGACTAACACCTGTCCTGACAGAACCAAGCCTCTTCCCCAACACTTTCATTATTGCAGTATTTAAAGTACTTGGCCGTATGACCACTAGCCTCTCTCACAGTGTCACTCAAAGACTCAGTGCTGAGAATCATTTATCAAGTATACTATCATGTACATTTATTACATGTACATATTTATCATGCACACTATCATGCAAATTATACTGCACTGTTTTGGTCAACGTAGAGGCTAAGTCTACATGTTTTGTATTAACTGCAAAGAGTTACCTCCTCTCGTCAAGCAAGTCTTACATACTATGAAAGAAGATACTAGGCATTCTCAGATACTGTGTGTGATGAAAATGTCAAAAAAAAAAAAAAAGAAAAAGAATTCCTGATGTACTGGCCTTTACAGTACCTGAAACTGCAACATCTTAAAGGGGTTAAATAGTGAGTCTCTCCTTTTAAAAGCTTTACAGGAACTTTCCTATCTCAACTGCCCAGGAACCTGTTTTGTCTTCAAAACACACTAAGCATCATTTTATGATGCATAGACACCTTAAATGCAAAGAGTATTTTTCTTAAGATAGGTTTTCATTCCATTGTGGCACTCATCTGCTCAAACAACATGTAGGAGTTGGTTTCCAGAAAAAAAGAAAAGGGAAAGAAGAAAGGAAACTCAAAGCCTTCCTGTTCTCCACCAGGGTCCCCTCTGGCAGCTGCAAGAACACATTCATACTTCTGTGCGCCTTTCTACCACGACACTACCCCGAGACAGGCTCATACAATGTTCTAGGGATGGAAAATCCTCATGGAAGGATATGCCACAATAAGGGGCCCTCTGATTAAAATACTGTGAGCCCAGAGTTTAATGTTATTTCAGGTGAGAGACAGCCAGGCCCTTAATGAGCCAGGAGCATGAAACACTCCCAGGTGCATGCTGCAGGATTATAGATGTCTGGGAAAATAGCAAAACAAGTTTATTTACTTGGCCTGCAGAAGATGGTCAGTACCAGCAAGCCTAAAGCTCATGCATGTTTTCTGCAACAAAAAGTCAAGTCTTCCTCTCCATTACTGAGTCAGCAATGGGAAAGATGACCATGCATTCTTTCTGCTGCCCTGAGGACACAAAGCAGATTCTCTGGCTTTCTGGACAATTACAAGCAGCAATCTATTTCAGATTTCCTCTCCAATTTGTAAGCTTCATCCTGAGGGGACATACCCTAAACCACAACACTTTACCCTTCCTACTTGTAATGCAGGTACTAGGATGCCAGAAGAGCTCCAGATGATCCTTCATGCCCAAGTCCCGACACAGACACAGACCTGTGTTCAACGATCAGGAGATGAGGATTTTAGCTCTGTGCTATCCACACTTCATACCATGAGTCCAGTCTGCATGTTGAATAAAAAAAGTAAGTTACAGTCCACATGGTAGTACCTGAAGAACATCCCTAATATTAAATTAACACTTTAAACAATAACTGGCTTAATTAAAAATAGGAGTCAGTCCTCCAAAGGTATCCCTACCAGAACACTAAGAACAGAAGGAATCACTGGACAGGAAGGAGAGGCTGCAGGCAGTTGTCAGTTTTGCATGGCTGTTTTGTCTGTTTATAGCTTTAGCTGTATCATGCGGTTGCTATAGGTATATAGTCTTGCAGCACACACTCATCTGCACCATGACTGGGCAGTAGAAAGCACAGATAATGCTCAGATGTTACTGAAGCTGGCACAGTGCTCAGAGTACAGATTGATCAACAAGATTCCACAAGAACTGCCTCGGCATGTAACCGCCTCCAACACAAAACGGCTTTTGCATACTTCAAAGTTACACTGAAGTCTCCTGAAGTAGCTGGAGATGTTTCACTAGACACACTGGCAAGAAGAACACTCCTAAAGCTGCCACTTGAGTGATGAATTCATTCCATCCATAGCTGAATTAGGTATTACTGTGCAACAGAGGACAAGTAAGCCCACTGGCTAGCTTAAGTGGGCTCTGGCCAACATGGTTTAAGGAACTCCAAGCAGCAGATGCATACAAGTGGCAAAACCATGCAGGCCCCCTGCACCACAGCTGGCTCAGAGGGCCCCTGGTGTATGATGTTGATATGAAGTGAAAGGTTCAGTCACTGGAGAGCCATGGGGTCAGAGGAGACCAGCAGAGATGCAAGTGAAGACCAGCATGACTACAGCCACGGACTGGAGATACATGTAGTGTAGGACAGGACCAGCGTGTCTGCTCTAGCACCAGTCTCTAGCAGGAAGCTGTGAAAGAAGTACTGGATCCCCACATCTTCAGCGGATGGGTAAGCACAGAGAGGTGACCTGGATCTCACAGGAGCTGACAGGGAACAGCCTCTGAAGAGCACACACTCATCCAAGTGAGAAAAGACAGTCACTGTGTCCCTGGGCCCACGCCTGATAACAACACCCACCAAGGACATCAGAAGGCTGACCAGGTAACTGAGTTTTCATGACGGCTATCACGTTGCCAGTTACCTGAAGCCTACAACATGTTACATGCATGCTACAGGTTTCAGTACCTCCTCAGGCTCCTCAGTGAAGCTACGCTGTACTTCAGTTCAGCTCTAACATATGACTGTGCTCATTTACTGAAGCGAACACTAAACGGTACTTCTTTTACCCTAATTAGTGATGACTCTTTTAGTCTTTGAGCTTGCTGATAAAAAAACAGTCCAACTGTGACATATTAACGAAAATGGAACAGCACAAGTGAAGACAAGAAGGAAGTCTGCTGTCCAAGATAATAGTTTCAATGATAGAAAAAAAAAAAAAATACACTGTACTACTGCCTCAGGTGGTCTTGTTCCTTTTTTACGTTAGAGTGGTAGTTGCTGAAATTCAAAAGCCTTTTAAAGCAGCCTTTGGCTGAATAAATAGGAGACACTAAGCTGCAGTTGAAAACTTGCTCTACAAGCCGTTTCCCTTTCATTTATACTGTCCAAATACTGTTGAAGTAAACTCTCTCAAATATTTTGACTCAACTGTTCTAGTCCTTTCTATCTTCCTAGTGCATAGGGCTCCTTTTATAGAAATAATCTCTCCCATGTTTTGCATTCTCCTCTTTATGGTCGTGCTGCTTCAGCTGTACTGTTTGGACTGATCCAAGGAGCTCATGTCTTTGTGGTTTTTTTTTGGTTGGGAGGCTACCATGAGCATTAATTTAAAGGAACACAATTTATGGAACAATGCACCAAAATTTATCTATGGCATTATTTTCTTAAAGAAAAAGCTGGGAGGAGGGGAAGATTCTTTGTGAAGATGCAGAAATCTCAGCACCTTGGAATCTCTGTTTGGCCTCAGTTTCTATATACATGAAAAATGGGGAAATGGCTTATGGAAAAGCAACCCAAAGTAAACATTTCAGATGAGACAAGTGGTAAATCATAGTTATTTGTAACAATGAGGCACTATCTTTGAAAGACGAAGTAGAACCCAGTACTATCAAAATGTAATGAAAGGCACGCTCATAAGCAACTCTCTTCACTAGTTGTCTGCACTCGGTTTTACTGAACCGTCCTGGCATCTACAGTAGGTATGATGCTTCACTTCTGAGCACAGGTCTCCACTTAGCGTCCTCCTTCAGAGACTGACATGCTGCTATCCACTCTCATCTCTCTCAGGCTTCCAGTTTTTTTCTGTTTCTGCTTGGACTTTTTCAACATATGGACCTAAACCAGAAAGTTTTAAAAGACAGTGAGTATTAAAATATCTGTAGTCACCCGTAAGCAGACCTAAGTCAACTAATAAACAAACAAAATGTTGGAACTGCAACAGAAAAACATTCAAATACACAACTATCTGAAGCACCTATCCTTATAAAGCTACAGGATTAAGTGCTTTTTTTACATAAACATATATACACATGTATGTATATGTATATAGATGTATAAGGATATGTATGTGTGTGCATATATATTCATGTATACACATATACATACACATATATACAGATAACACTACTGGTCACTAACCTGATAGAAAGATAGAAATATATCTCACTGGTAGGACAAGTTATGTTTGTTCTTTCTCTCTTTCTCTTTTCCCTCTTTCTCTCAGGAAAAGAACAAAGTTTAACATATTCCAGAACATCTGAGGTATGACCCTCTTTTTCACCCATTTTTCCTCTGCAAGGGCCATTGTTCTAGTAGCCCTCCCAGTGGGGCTATATATTCTCCGAGATTGCCTGTAGCAACAAATATCTGTGAGTTAAAAAGGCATCCTTAAGGTAGCAGATAAATGTGTAGACTGGTGTGCAGGACAGACAACTACTGTAAAATGTTTATTTCACAATTTCAATGTCAATAGAGAAGTTAAATTCTTATTTATCTGATGCTCTTTTCCTTCTACATATACATTGAGATATCAAGGAAAAACAGACGCTGATTACTCCAAAGTCTTTTTTTTGCCTCTAACCCTCCTTCATTATTCAGTTTTCTCCTTTGCTGCTGACAGACCTTCCCTCCTCCAGCACTGCCAGCAGACTGCTTCCTACCTCGCACACTGCAGTACTACCATGGCCCTCATAGCTGAGATCTGCTTCAGGGAAAGTAACACTGCCTGGAGATCTCAATAAAGGGGAAAAATTTAAATCACTGGGCTGAAACTCAGGGATTACCTTTTTAAACACAAGCCCCATCTGAGCCAGGGGAGAGGGTCCTCAAACCATTCTCTGTAGAAACTGCTATGTATTTATCCAACAGTTACCACACCGACTACCCAGTGCCGACTAGCTCCTTTAAAGTTAAGCATCAGAATGCAACAGACAAACAAGATAATATGGTAATACCCACTGGAGAAACAAAGTTGACTTGCTAAGACAAACCTACAGCCAGTACCTTTGGTCCTGCAGCAGAAATAATAATCCGGCCAGGGGCCTGCATCCAGGGCTCTCCATCGACTTGAACTGGAATTGGCTTTAGGAGTGTTACACGAAAATACGAGCCTTGGGCTATACGGATTCCTGATCGAAAACCACCTTGAACTTGACCCTGTTAGGAAGTAAAAGCCAGGATATCAATCACCTCAATAGAACAAGAAGCACAAATATTAGCTGCATTTAAAGTGGGTGGATAGAATTTTATTCTCACCTGATGTTTTAGTTTCAAGTAAAAGAACTGCTTAGGCAAAATCTGCATAGGATGCCTTTACTGATGCAGCATTAATTATTTAGGTTACTGCATGAAGAAAAACTCAGATACCCTTGGAGGCTGTTGGAGGCAAAATAACCTACATAGTGAAGTCATCTGTACACTCAGGTTGACTAAGAAGCATACGCTCACAAAGGTCTTGTTTTGCTTTTACTTTCACCCTCCATAATGCAGTAAACACATTTTCAAAACACCTAACTATACACACAGACACATGTGAAACTCAAAAGCCTAAAATCACATTATCAAACAGGGAGAGTTTTGTCAAACTCAATGCCATATACATATATATAGATATACTCAACTACAACTAGCAGCTGAGTGTTAACTGTAGAAAGTGAAGCAAAGTGAACTTTGCAGCTACACATTCTCTTGGGGAATGTGTACAGACACCAAACATGGGGGAAGAAACCTTAACAGAAGATCACAAAACCAGAGCACAGGTTTGGTAACATTTATATTCCAAAGCAACAGGTACAATCCTTGTTGCTTCTAACATCACAAAAATTTTAAGGATCTCTACCAAACCACTTCTTCTAATGGAATGTTTTGCATTTGTCTTCCTTAAAAGATCTAAATTACAAAATGGTAAAGCTGGCCAACACCAAAGATTGAGCTGCACAAACAATATTAACCACCCACCTTTCCATTTTTCGTGGTTCTGTGGATTAGTTGTCACTAGTTACTTGGCCACATATACTTTTTCAGCAGCAGACTTGATAAGATAGCAAAAGAAATACGAAGGAAACACAAAAGTATCTCACCATCTCACAAGACTGCATTGCTAATAGCAGGCCATTGTAAAAATGCATAATACATGGAAGAATTAAAGTTGCACAAATTGAGTCATAATAGTCTTTGCAGAACTGGCATACCATCTGCTTCACACAACATCAAGAGCAGCTAGCATCAGAGACACAGAGACAGCTGTTGGAAAGCCTGTAGCAGAAAACTGTAAGGCTACTTGTGTAGAAGGAACCTCTGCCCTGATTGTGATACGGTATGACAAGATTTTTCGCAAATACACTAGGAGGAGAGTGGGTGTTTTTGTAATATTTAAATAAAATCTTGTTTTCATTCCATGAACTGTTTGGTTTCAATACCATGATACCTGTTATGAGAAAGCTAGTGCATTCACTAGTATGCATATATACACATATATATATATATATGCATTTCATATATATGGATACATGTATGTTTCTGGCCTTGGTTCAAAGCCTACTTAAGTTATGAAGCATTTCTTCCTGCACTTTTAACAAGTTCTTCATGCTCCTATTACTTCTTCTTATCCAACCACAGGTTTCTTCAGTTTCCATTCCATCTGTCGCAGCCTGGCACCTAAATATGGATCTTCAGGGCAGGCCAATGAACAGGCAATGAGAAGGCACTGCAGCCCATGAACAGGCATACCAGCTGCAGCGTAACTCCTGACATCTGAACACTCTGTTCACAGCTGACACTGCCCATGAATTCTGTTTATGGTCTATAACTATTTAATTGTGATGCAAAAAATACCTGAAAAAACAATGGCATAACCTTAACACAGATGTGTACTTTATAGGACTACATGCTTGCAATGCACTGTTTGTGACAAAAATAAACCAGTCTGAGAAAATGTACGTTTCCTCTGTTCTTACTGGAATGCCAGTTTACCATGTGAACGACGCCAGTCACACCAACAACTTCCAGCAGGCCGTCATCAATGCGTGGTTTCTCAAAGCGGTTATCGTTCTCAGACCCCCAGAGATCGGCTCCGGACCCCCAGCTGTGTAAAGAGCACACCACAGTGACTGCCCGTGGACCTGCCACCTGCCACACAGCACCCTAGCAGCGGTGGCTGGTTCACCAGACTTCAAAAGCCAGGCACCCTGAGCTGGAGAAGACAACGCGGATTTGCTGCGCTGTAAAAGCAGGAAGTGTTTTCCTAAAATCTGGAAGACTTCTGACCAGATCTTTTAGGAGTGAAAGAGGGAGTGAAGTAAGTAGGTACCACTTGGAGTAGGTAAGAAGAAAGGAACTCCAAAGAGTTTTAGTTTGCTGGGAAATACAGGTTACAGCTACACTAACCCCTAGCTTCCAAGGCTTAAGAACTTAACACAGATTTTACCGGTCTTGACAATATCTACAGAAGCTACTGAAGAGAAACTGAAGCTAAAAACAAGTATCAAGTTTTTATTCTTGTGCCTGGCCAAACTCACTTGTAGCTAAGCAGGTATTCCTGTACCTCAATCCTCTGAAATTTTTCTGACAATTTAAGAGCGTGTTGCTTTTCGTGCAGTATTGACCACCCTTACTCAAATGACTCACTCACTGCTTTACCACACTGACTGCTCATTGGTAATCATGATATTTTCTTCTCCACAGTTCTCATGTGCAATGCATACTTGTGTGTTTGTGCATGTGCACATACCTGTGTGTACATGTAAATATAAATACATTTGAACATAAGGTTGAAACATTTTCAGGCTAAAATAGAAAGAGATACTGGTAGCTTAAGATAAGAATGTACCTGAAAAAAAATATAGTATGGCAGCACTAATTACCTGCTGGTTTAGTGCAAGCAAAAAACCTGCCTCTACCAACAGCACATGTAAGGAAGCCAGGTTTCCTGCAAATTTGCCTTCCTTTCTTCTACAGCACTAACTAGCCTCCTGCGAACATCAGGGCAGCCCACACCACCCCGCAAAAGGTACCTGAACTGTGGGTTTTCCACAGCTACCTGGGTAGCATCACCGACTCCACATATACTGACCAGCTGGCTGTAGGGCCTGGACAGTGTTTGACAGCTGAATCCTGGCTGGCTTTCACTGCAGGAACTGCTTAGGCACCTGGTCTCTATCATTCCAGAAAGTGCGTGCAAGCTGATCATCTCTAATCTTCCTATAAGTCATGGTGAAATCCGGTTGACCATTCAAACAGTTTGGGGGAGGCAGGAAATGGTAGTGGACAGAAGTCACAGGCCTACAACCATGCCTAAAAAACCACGCTTTACTAGAAAACTGCTCCAAAAGTCTGAAGAAGTCTGAAGACATTTGGTGAGGAAATTGTTCCAAATTACTGTTAGGACACCGAAGAAATAGCAAATGTAAGGGGGTTTGCACTGGGAAAACAAGATAGTACCACCTTTATATGGAATGAGATTGTGAATTTCAAGAGATCAGAAAAATTATGTCAAAATGGTATGAACAGCTAGCTCCTTAGGCACAGTTGCAAAGCCAGCAAGTCTGGCAACAATCAGAAATACCCAATAACAACCATCTATTAATCTAGACCATTTAACATTTTATCTAACCATCTGACATTTGATGCTCAAATACCAAGCAGCATTTCCCACCATACAGACAGAAATGCATCCACACAGGATCCTTCCTCTCCTTTTTACCTGGGTATGTTAATAAAAATGAGTCCTTCTATACTTGGTAACTCCACCTCGTGCTGGTCCACTTGAAGCTTTATGTCTTTGTGAAGATTTCTGGTATGACTTATCTTCTGCAGCCCAACTTTCACATAAACTCCTTTGTTGTGAAACCTAGGAGCAGACAAGCATCCTGTAACTAAAAGGTACGGTCTCAGCATTCTTCCTTGTACATACAGCAGTACTGTCCTCTATCAGGTATTTTTAAAGAGTTTTTCAATTAAAACACTCTCCAAATTCTTCTAGCTTTGCTGTAGAAACAAAGCATAAGCCATGAACTGCTACTTAAGCAATGATTTGTGCTGTCGAGGCATGTGGAGATCTCTGAAATTTTATTACAGAAAAACCATCCCTTCTTAAAGTGTTGCCTGAATGCAATGCCTCTTTGAAATGTAAACTTCTGGGCTGGAAAATTGTACTTTTAATTAAGACCCAGAGGTCTTCATGAAACATTTTAAAATTTTCTCTCGTGCAATCCTAGAATAATTAAGTCACAAAAACCTTTCCAAGTCTTTGCTTTACATATCACTAATTCATCTGAAATATACTCAGCTGTAGAAACGTAAAACGTGCTCAGTAATGTTAACCAGTGACAGAGCTCTAACAGCTCCAATTTTAGAGTAAAAAAAGATGAGGAAGATTTTATGGCATCCCTAGAAATGTCAACATATTTTAAGAATAACACAAACAAATGTTAGTTAAACACGCACAGTATTTTCTTCTATAATGGAAATCTTTGGATACATGGCCTTCAGGGGAATCTTAAAATAAAAAGCATAAATTTCCATTATTTGACCCTGCTAGCACATGGGTGTCACTGGATTCCAACTCTGCAAAATCTCTCTAGCATTATGTCTAAATGCTGTAGACATTCAAGTGGGGAAGACAGCCAGTTTAGCACGTGGGTTATAGACAACTCTTCAGGCAGAGACTGTTCGGTTTTTTTAATTACAGTGGAATGATTAGTCCTACATGCTAACAGACTTAAACAGCACTGAATTAAAGGTACCTGATGTAACACCATTTAACATATGCTTAATGTATGTTTCTACTCCAGACAAGACAGTAAGATGTGTCTATGCTAAAACAGGCTTTGTCTAACTTGGATACAATTGAAAATTAACCGAATATCAGTAGGAAGCACAATACTTTGAATATCCCCCAAAAGTATTAATTTTTGTGGCACAAAGAAGGAAGCCTACAGAAACTGAAAGAATATGACACAGTACCGTAAGTGCAGGCACAGTCCTGAATTACATGACTTCTAAGAAACATTTATCGACCACCGAGGTCCACAGGATCCAGACATTGGACATAGCACCCCATCATGCACAACAAAGGGTAAATCTGTCTGTCAGAGATTGAATCCTATCACTCCATTCTTGCGTACACACTCAATTCCATATACGTATCTTGTTAGGACACTGAGACCAAATAAGAACAAACTGATTTTTGCGATGTTACCGTGCCAATTCCTCCCCGATGGTTTTGAAGGTGACTGAAAGATTTTATGGTTAAAATAGCCAGCCAAGCTTGGAAGGGTGATCTTTGCACATCCACAGCTAGAGAGAATCACCACTCTTCTATGCACATCTACCTGTGGAACACGACATGTGCTGAAGGAAATCAATGTTTGTATTAGGTGAGACCCACACGTTGCAGTCACTGCTGTAAATGATGCTGATTGGGATGACAGAGGAGGGCAGGGTGTTACATGCAGCTCATCCATCCCCATGGAGCCAGTGAGTCCTTGCACCAGCTAGCTGCAACACTTGCATCACTGTGTCACCCCAGAACTATTCTGAAGGCTCTCCAGAGTAGAGATATAGAGGTAACATCCTACTGCTCCAATGAGTTTGGGGATTTGGCCGACACAACTCAGGAATCACCCTTTGGTTTGTTTTTCAACAAAAGATGCACTATAAGCATAGCCAACATTCATGTACCACCTGATGTCCCACTGGCTACACCCATAAACACACCCTTTCTGAGGGACATTCAAAAGGTTGGACTGATTCTTCAGTTTAGCTAACTGAGTATCTCAGAATAGATAAAGTTAAAAGGTGACCCTATTTAGGACCAGTTTCAGGGATTATGAAAGTAAACAAGTGTTTTTTAAATACTGCAATCCTGTATCTATTCTTCATAGAGCAAACTGAAAAACACCCTCTACTAAAAAGTCCCATGAACAAGTCTCCATAGAGTCAGGGAGACACCGTGACATCAACTTGCACTGTTAATTTAATCATCTCTGTGGTTCCTGTTCAAGCAGCAAACACCTTCAGTGGCCAGAGAAAGCAAGACCATGAATAACTGCTTTCCAAGCTTTCATGAAAACAAAATAAAGAAGCCAGTCCTCAAGAGTCATGAAGGAACGAAGTGAACTGGTGCAGAAAGCCAGACTTTCCAGAGCTCTCGCCAACTGCTGCACACCCAGAAGCTCAGGTTTGGGTAACTCTTTTTGAAAGGTGATGGATAAGAAATCTGTGTGCCAGGCCCTTTTAAATGAACTACAATTTCCCATAAGCACTAATAAACAGCTAGGTAAGGTAGCTCAGAAGCAAACATCTCAAAACTGCAGCACACTGCATGGAAAGCTATCAAGCAAGACAAAATGACTGCCTTTTATCTAGTCTTGCAATTCAACAAGCCCACCACTGGGTGGGAAACCACCACTGCGAAAGCTAAGAGCTCTGATCAGTAATTAGCATCCGTTTCGGTGCTTTAACTGGGATGATCTTACTGACTGGGAAAGAACTTTAGCAGGTTCACATACAGATGTCCCAAGATGGAAAAAAAATGATTAGACAGTAGCTGCTACAGCATTTTAAACCCCACAATCAACAAATCAACCAACCAATAGTTTCAAACCTTCTCCCCACCAAGCGAGAGAACTGCTCCATATCTTTGTAAAACTATTCTAAACTTGCATTAAATCATGCAGAATATTCTCTCTGACTAACCTTACATCCAGGAGACTTCTCACCACAGCAGTCTCCTGCCAATTTTGCAATGGCACAAACAAGATGTGGCCTCTTCTATAACAGGCAATACTAAAGACTGCTCCAGAATCCCATGAAAATGGGGGAATGAAGGCAAATGCCCTGACCCCTAAGTTTTACACTGTGAAAAAAACTCACATAGCCTGACAGTCAGCAACGTTAAAACCATCCTTGCCACAACATACACTAATTCTATCTGTTCTGAGATGCAAGTTCAGCACTAAATTCGCCCCAGGGAAGCCATCACTGCACTGTGAACTGCCAGACAAAGGCAAGCAGTCCTGACTGTGTGAAGAGACTCTACAGCATGAGGCCAGAGAGCATACAGCTTTCAGGACATTCACCAGCTTAAGGTCTTGATTCAGAAGAGCACTCAAGCCCATTTTTCTCCCAATGACTATCTGCAATTTCTGTTGCCACAACATGAAACTTCCTGTTCTGCACTCAAGAGCAGCCAGTTCATGTTCCAGCAGCTGTTGCATCTGGCATAAGTAGCCACCCTTCTTATTTAATTTACTGAAAATAATTAAAAAAAAAAAACCTGCTAATCTTGATGGCAAGAACATGCACTTGCATGTCATGGGAAAGGGTAAACCCAACAATTTTAACAGTCATCATCACAGGCAGTTAAAGGCAATCATCATGCACTGTTAGCCTGCACAAGCTGTTTGTCTCCTGCAAAACCACACCTCGGTATCAATTCATTATTTCATGTTTCTTTTCCAGATCTTGAATCACAGAAATACGCAGCCCTTCAGATTAACAGAAGAAATATAAATCATCTATTCTTTCCCATATGCCCTTCAAGACACCCGGCTTGCATGGTATCCAAATACTCATGTAAAAGGTCTGCAAGAATGGTACCAAGTCATTGCCCTCTGCACTGCAGGTGAAGCATGCTGTGAACTCACTGAGATAAAGATTTATGGGATGAAAAGCACACAGGGCAACAAAAGTCAAAGTATAACCCTTAAATAGAGCGGCAATAAGAAAAGGACACATCTTTTAAAGTGCTGCAGCTTTGCAAAGTAAGAGTAGAATATTTTAAAGGAAGAATGAACATAACTCTTATATTAATTGTACAAGTAAATCTAGAGCTGATGTACACAAAGTTATTGCCTGACTTTACTATCTAAAATGTTTTTAATCCAGTGGATTGCAAATGCAAAGCAGTGCCTAATAGTAATTTATGTACCACAAACAACATCTTGTATTACTCCATTTTTAAGAAAAGAACATGAGCAATGCCTGTAATGATAGAACACTGCAAGACAGGTTGGCTTACACATCATTACACTCATAACCGGTCAGAGAATATTCTTACTAGTCAGTTGTAACCTGCTGTCACACTCTCTGGTGACCAAGAGACAATTTAGAGGACATTTACTCACAAACATTGGGGAAAGCAGACAAAACCAGCCTCTACAAGGAATAACTGATTAACTACACAAAAGTGACTTCTTTTTCTCACCCATTTCAGTGATTGTGGGAAGAAGAAAAGTACTATTATTGATTGATCTGCATGCTAGAAAAGAGGAAGGTCTCTCTCCCCATCTTTTTGATCACTTGAGATACAGAGATCTCTTTTTGTCCTCATTACCAGCACAAGGTGCTACCATAGCATTAAGCAAGGGTGGGAGAGGTACAAAGTTCTGAACAGCGTGCGTATTGCTCATTGCTCATGTAGCAGCACTGCCCTCCCTGCTGCTCAAGGCTTTGAATAAGAAATACTTACACTACCTCGTAATTTCACTGATCTCAACATTGCAGTTATTGGCAAACAAGAATGGTGAATAATAACGACAGGTTTTCCAAAAGCTGCTTTGGTGCTCCCTCTCAGTTAAAAAAAAAGAAAAATAAAGAAAGAAAGAAAGAAGGAAAAAATAAAAAGACACAAAGGAAAAAGAAAAAAAGGAAGAAAAGAAAAAGGAAAAAAGAAAAAAAAAGAAAAAAAAAGGGAAAAAAAAACATGAAGAAAAGTAAAACCAAACAAACCCCCTGAATTCTGTGTCTAGGAGTTCCTGGCTAACTTAATTTCTCCCTGTGCCAGCTCTGCCTCAAGCAATACTGTTTGTGGATACCTGTAGTGTTTCAAGATTATCAGCCATAGTGTAAGCTGCAAGATGGGCAATACCACAGAGTTTGCCCTTCACCCCTGGTTTGTCCAGGATTACCTGCTATTAAATTTCCCTGGTTCTTCTTCTCTAGCATGATGAAAGTCCAAGCTCAGCTCTGCATCAATGCCAAGACCACAGTAATTGTTCATCTGTACAATCTGACAACAACAACAAAAAAGTATTATTCCCTCCTTATGTTTATAAATGAGGAGGTTCCAAAGTTTTTCAAGAAAAGCAAGCTTTGCAGATGATCCTTCCAAGTCACTTGCATCTTGACAGATTCTGGAAAACATTTTCGAAAACAGTGCACTAAAAATAAGTCTGTATGGACAATTGTTGACATGTGTAGTCATAACTTCCAAAGTATCAGAAACTTAAAAATTTAATCTTAATTGTGAGTAACAAGCATAATAAGTCAGAAATAAAAACAAATGCAGAAATAAAACCACCCCAACCTCTCAAAGCGATTCCATGCAGTAAATACACAAGTTACTGAACACTGAATGCCAGTTATTTTTTGCATCAGCCATGGATTTATCATGACATCACTGGGAAGATGCTTTTCCTTACTTTGGAAAGTGACCAGATTATGCCAGTATGCCAGAGTAAAGAACTTGACTTCACCTACTCAGCTGCATTTTAAATAGCTCTCTGTATATAAGCCATGCCAAGCTCAAGTTTCTGCAGATTGCAACCATTTCTGCAATTAATTCTTCCTTTGCATGGCAGTTTATTCCATGGCTTTTCTATTCTAGTCCTTGACTCTCCCATCCTTCACCTTTAAAAAGCAGATTAGGCACTCAGGGCAAATCAACCCATCACCATGAAGTGAGAAATAGTTGGAACTTGAGCAACTTAGATCCTCCAACTGACAGATAATGCCTAGGATTTTCCAGTGACTAGACTAAAATCTTAGACAATTGATACCATTATTACCATATCCTACTTTCTTTTTGCCACTCCCCTGTCCAATTCCTTTGTTTTGTCTGAAGATAAACAGAACCAGGATTCACACAAAGTTCTGAAGTCACCATCTACAACCAACATTTTTATTTTCCTAAACAGACACAAGTCATATGAACCAAGGGACAAGGATTTTCTCTCCAAAAAAAACCCCAAACCCAACCCCATGCCAAAATAAAACAGATGCCACATATACAAACACACAATGGCAGTAAGATGACAGAAGGATTTACTTCCTAGCAACTCATAAGTCATTTTTAAACTGTTTAAGGAAAGATCAAAGTACTTTTTGGGGGAGAAGGGGTGTGTGTGTATGTGTGTGGGTGTGTGTTTTTTTTTGGTCTACACTCCAGTTTCATGAGTATTCTGGAAAGTGTTTGGCGCTCCTTCAAAAAGCTTTTCTTATTCGAGAAATAGATTTATTTCTAACTGAAGCAAATAGGTATGCCATTGTCACTTGAATCTTTTTATTAATCCTCCGTCACATAATTTTTGCCAAGAAGCTATGAAGCGTGTTCTGCAGCCAACCAGTACTACCAAAACTGAAGCACTTGATCCAGATGTACGCTGTGTTCACTAAGGAATAACTCAGTAAAGCCCAAGCTCAGAGGTAGGTGAGCAATAAAAGACTAAACTATGTTAATATCTACCATCTTTGTGATTTTCGCTAGAACAGAAGTCCCTAAGAATCAAAGCCAAATGGTGCTCAGCTCACCTTTGGAGGCTCAGGTTCTGCAACGCCATTCTCTGCACCTTCAGCTGGCTCTTCTGCATCCAAAAGGATAGTCCAGCGATCCATAAGAACGTCGTCTGCCTCATCCACAGAAACCAAAATCGAGTAGGGGTCCTCCCCACTGTAGCCAGCTCCCCAGCGCAAGACCCTCCCTAAGTCATTACCTGGGCAACAGTGAAGAACCCCAAAATATGACCTGCATTTCGTAAGTTAACTAAAAGCATCAGAAAGTGCATCAGCCCTGTTTCATAAATCAAATTGCATTAAGGCGCTCCAAACAAATCACAGAAGTAGTCAGATTGGATCAAAGAGTTAACAGAAAAAGTATCTATGTGTTGTTGTGGTTGCACATGTGATTAGTTACACATACAGACATGCTGTCTCATCTGAAACATTTTCACAAAAAGTGATGGAAAAACCTGTTATGGGGTTGAGAAGTCAGGGAGTCACTGAGCTCACTGGTTTACAGCAATGGCTGATGCACCTGTGTTTGTCAGGGGGAGACCATTTTGCCCTCTCCACCTCTGGCCCACCCAGACCCATACCAACCCTCCCGCCTCTTGTTTTTCCTTCAGAAAGCGTTACTGACATTTTCTTGAAAAGCTGATACTGCATTTGCTCTCCAACAGTGGCCAGAACTGAGTCATAACATCTCTACTGCAGAACCGAGTCGTTTGTCTGACAGATAGAGAAAGATAAACCTTCTGGAGGACTTACATCCTCAGAAGAAGAATGGTGCTCACTGTGATTCTCACCTGTTCCTAAAGGTAAGATAGCAACTGAGGGCTCTGAGCACACCAGCTTGTGCCTGATCTCCTCCAGAGCACCAAGGACCCAGCCGACGGTCCCATCCCCTCCACACACCAGCACTCGGAAGGAGGGGACTTTAGAGAACGTGTGAAACCTCCATTGAGAAACAAAGCAAAGGGGAAAAGAAGTGTTACAGTGTAGTAGAGGAAAAGCAAAGCCTCTTAATATGCAATTTAAGATAACACATTATTATTGGATTCCTCCCCCTTCCCCTTCACCATCAGCTTCGAGATCAACTTCAACAAAGTTGAATGGAAAAATAGGAACTTTTAGATAAAGCTCTTTAAAAAGAGTGAAAACCACGTTCTTCTAAGATTCTTCATGGCTAGAGTTAAATTGTTAATCACTTCCTTTTTCACCAAAGACACACAGATCTAACTATTCATAATTTCAATGTGAACATCTAATAACTCTCTAAATCCTAATGGAGATGTTGATCAACAGTGTGGTTTTTTTTACTTAGTCATAGACTCACAGTACATTTTCTTCTTCATAGTACTATTTTCCTGGTCGCTCTTACCTTTTGTGGCTTTTCATCCTACATACTGAGATATCCTGCAAAGGAATTTTTATTTCCCATTGCACAAGAAGCAATGAACATGTGGAAGCATTTTGCCATAAAGTTACAGAAGGATTCCACAGGCAAAACAGAATGAACAAGTTACTGAACTTGGGAGCTTGAACTGCATTAGAAAGACAACAGAATTATACAGTTCTGACAAAAAAAAAATTTTGTGCAGGTTGTTTTTCTTGCCTCCTGCATAAGCGGCATTTCTCCCACAAAATCTTTTGTTTTGACGAGCTTGTCATGACAGTCCTTTGCAAAAGCACTGCTGAAGGAATCAGGCTACTCTGAGCAGGCTACAACCATCACTTTCAGTTTTACAAAGCTGGTAACTAAGTGGTGTTGATTAAATCAAGTAATCGGTTCCTGTCTCCCTACAAGCACATTATGTTCTGTTCCTTGTATTTAGAAATGTTACAGCTGTGATCAGGCAGGCCCTGTTAATTCTGCAGTTGTGGCCAAGTTTCAAGAGTCAAGATAGAAAATTTTATTATACTTTCCTGTTAGTTCCCATGAAACATCAGAGGAAATAAAAGCAAAATCGAGCCCTTGTTGGGCAATGTGGCATTTCTCTTTCCAGCCCCATTTGATTATAAAATCTTTTTATTTTTAATAATTATTAAATTTGTGGTACTGTAGAGTGCATATGACTTTCCCAGGACTGGACTCTCTTAGACTTGACACAAGCATATATATCAGGAACTAATCTATCCTTTTTTCTTTAGAAAACCTCCAAGTTTCAATCTGTTTTCACAGTGAGAATCAGTTAGGAGGAATGATCCACTGCTCTGGTCTTCAGGCACAGAACAGAAGAAATTTAGATCTTCATGACAAGTGCATGTGATACACCCTTTCAAAAAATAACAAAACAACACAAATTAAAAAAATTTTAAATAGGATGAATTACCCAGGCAGCGGGCCACCATTGGTAAGTTCAAAGACCTGATGTGGGTTTAGCAGCTTTCTGAAACTGTACAGCAGATCCCGACCTTTTAGACCACCACTTTTTGGATTCACAAATACAAGAAGTGGGCAGCAGTTCTGTGGTATTTTGGAAGCCTAAAGGAAGAAAAAAAAATGATTAGCCAAAATCATGGTTAGGCAGGAAAATTACTACTGCATTTCAGAATTATTTTCTGACGCTTTGTTGATACTTAGTAAAAAAATCCAGATGTGATAAATAAAAAGATTCAATGTCCAGACAATGGATGGGTTAGCTGCTGATCTTGTTTTTCGGGTAACTGAAGTTTTCTTAGCCTACTCCAACCACACAATTGAACCTAATGTTAAAAACAAAGGCACTGTAAGTAGTCCTTCCTACATATTCTCAGTAAACAGTCTATGCCAAAGAATAGTGTGAAGGATAAGGTACCTTCCCGGGTCACGTGCAATTCAAACACCTTCCTTGTAAAGAGAAAACTTCTCCCCAAAACAACTGAAACATCTGTCTTAGGTTTCGTGGTCATCTAGAATACATTTTAATTTACAAGGACTAAACATTTCAGAATGAGGGTGTTCTGTCCCCTCGTTTTGAAATGTTTTGCCCCATGAAATAAGGAGGCTGAAAGTGTCGCTTTAAAACAAGTATTTAGAATTTTTTTACCAGGAGGATTTGGTGCCAGTATCTTACGATCCCTACACCTCTACTGAAGCTGCTGCTGAAAGGGCTCTCAAAGCATGTCTGTGCTGCAGGGTAGCCTGGTGCCCATCCAGAAGCCACTCCAAAGGAAGCCACTGACATGGCAGAGGAGGGATTTCCTGGGGTACTCCATGAACTGTGTGGGAACGGTACCTGCAGCCTCATCAGAGTCAAAACTTCCAGCCACCAGAAGCACCCCATCGGGACTGGTTTTCAGCCAGCCAGCCCTTAAATCATCCTGTAAAATGATTTGTAAATGGTTCTAGAAAGATCAGAAAGATGCCAGTGCACCCTTCACCCGTCCTGCCACAGGGCTGTGGGGCAGGTATGTGTCAGAAAAGTCTGCTGGACGTTTTGACAAGTGTGCTTCAAAACAGAAACGCCTGCCACAGTCCCTAAGTCACGGTAATTTGTATTCTCAAATTGGACAGCATTCAGGGAACAGCAATTTGTCACGCAGCTGACAGGATGGATCCAGGGAACAGAACAACAGTGCTAAATATAAGTCAATTTAGACAAGAATGATTCAGGGGGCGGTGAGGCAGCAGCATGACTGCAGCGTGCAAACATGCAGAGAGATACCAACAGCTACAGAGGGAAGGAAACAGCACCCAGAGGGCTTGTTGGCTGCTGACCATGAGCGACCACCAGAGAGCACGAACTAAGGTGAAGAATAGAGAAATCGGGACAAATTAATGAGTAACTTTGTGGGGAAGCAAACTGGAGTCTGATGTTGAGACACCCCAAACCATCGTCTACCCGTGAGCTGATCTGGATGCTTAAAAACGAAAAATTGTTTGAGGCTTCCCAGTATTTGAGATTTCTCCAAATTTTGCTTTCCTAAAAGAGCTAGGTGCTAGTCCTCTGCAGGCCACACCATGGTAGATGGGCAAGATACCTGCAAACACATAAAAATCCTTCTCTGTGCACTGTCTGAATGAGAAATGCCCTCTGCCATCCAGCGTGACTTGCTGGCACAAATAAAAAACACATCAGGAAGAGGAACACTAAAGCAGGTAAAGTTAGTGGAGACAGTACACACTTCTCTTGCCCCTTTCTTTCTTGTCCTGTAGATTCTACCAGAGACATTTAGTTTGAAAATACAGATGTTTTCTCAAAAAAAGAAGTAAATTAGCCAAACAAGGGCTATTTTGGCTAGCAAGTGCCAGAAGAGCCTCAAAATTTTGTTTTACTAGAAAGGTTTCACCACTGGCTAAACAACTAGGTTGGTGAGACAAAGGCTACAGAGCTCTCCTCCACACAGCTTTCTCTAGAGGAGCCACCGTCACACTGTATGGTGATGACTACTAGGTCAAAACACCTCTTGCCTCCATATCCAGGTTTTATTGGAAAAGGGGAAGCACTTATTCAAAGTGTGCCCAACACACAAGAAGGGTAATATATTTATTTCTCTTAAGCACATGGAAAGGATATTTGTAGCCAGCAAAGGAAGTCTAAGGAAAACAGTGCATGCCACTGTCACAAAAAGGAAGGACTTCTTGAGTTGTAAGGTCAACAGCTCAAGGATCCACACATCCCAATGAAAGAAGTGGATTTCCTCCCCTCAAGTCAGCACAGGCATTAATAAAAATAGTAAGCAGAGCTCAGACTTTTCCAGAAGTAAAGCCCTTCTCGTTACTCTGTCAGTTCCTGCACCATTATCTACTATATCCCATTGTTAATGAAGCTTTGAAAAGTCCCACCAGCAATGAAAGGCAGAGCAGCTTCGAAAGGAAATGCCACGTCCCATGGGGTAACAGGGCAAACTGTTCCCTTCCTGCACTCTTATTCCAGCCTCTACTCTGCCCTACCTTCCCACCTGACCACTTCCATTTCTTCCTCTTCAAACCTCCTTACTACCTAAATTTCATCTCCAGTCATTTTAGCTTTCTAAACAATACACGGTATCTGAAAGCTCAGGCTTGGTTCAACACCTGGAAACTTGTGGGGACTTAGATAAGGGGGACAAGGGGATAATAGAAAGAAAAAATATTCAGTTCTGCAGCTCAAAGTAAACAAACTTTTCCAAAAAACAATGGGAGAAAATAAACCAGCCCAGCATTCAAGTTAAACAAATACCTTACTTGAATGTGGACAAGTACATCTGATTACCTTCTTCAGGAAACCAGTTTCTAAAAATACTGGGTTTGGACATTTAGAAGGGACATGCTGAACACATGTTTTATATTACTTGCTTTTACAGGCAAGTTCTAACACACTGGGTTTAAAAACAAGTAACTAAAATAATTCACAAGGAACTTGAGGGAATTGCAAGGATTTTTGAGACATGGTAATCTCCAAGGCATTTAAAAGCACAGCTGTGTTTTGGAAAGTCCTCTGAGATCTTACCCAAGTAAATATATATTGTTGCAAATATGTATTTACAGTTTCTACAAAACTGCCATCTAAATTTGTTAATTTTCAATATTGTATCAAAAAAAAAAAAAAAAAAAAGCTAAACATTTACCCTGAATGTTACTAAGACTCACAAGCAGCTGCAGAGGATGCCTGGAGCTAACAAATATCTGTATGCAGTGTAAACTGTGCAGTACTATCCCTCAAGATGAACCATCTTTGTTCCAGTATCTTCTAATGTAAATCCCTAACTGTACCTATTTACGACTAAATGCACTGAATACAAAAGTATTCTAGAAAGTGCTTAGCCTTACAGTTAACTTTCTTCCCATCATCATTCTTCCTCAAACTTAAAGAAGCATGGCTAAATCCCTACATAAACACCAATTTCTAAGAAATTATTTTTCAGTAGGGGTTAAAAACTCTATGACAGTTTGTACAGCAGAGCAGGGCTGCTGAACTGCTTTCTGAAAAGTACATGCTCCGTTACAATTACAGACAGCCACAAGGGTAGCACTTTTATGCTGCAGAATTTTTTTTAATGCCTTAATAAAACCCCAGTGGAGATGTACAAATGAGTTTGTTACTGGGCAGACAGGGATGTGTGACTCAGCCTGAGGACTCCCTTCCCCCTTTAGCCCTGGCTTCAGTGCTCTGATTGAGGAGTGAAATCTGCAGAGGGGTTTTGTGTTGGCTGGCATTCAGGAAGGAATTTATTGCTCATTTCTTAGAGACAGCTGAAGGAGGCTGTGTGATTTAGACACTCTGACAGTCACTGTGAATTGCCTAATTTGTCAGGATTAGCACAATGCAGCTTCAGGCTGGGGCAAGGTATTTATTATCCACACTAATCCCCTTTCTGTTGAGTGCACTGTGTAATCACATCTCACGACAAAGCAGAACAAGGCGTTCCGTGCCACAGGCCTGCCAGCACGACAACCACGGTGCATCTTCCAGGGTGGTGGGCTGTCTCCAGGAACTGCAAATATCTCTAAGCAACAAGTAAAATTCAACATTTGCAAGGGGGCCGCCTGCAGCACCTCCCATGTGCCCCAAGCACAAACCTCCTCCACCCTGGCCAGAAAGGAATCATTGCATCTGATGAGGAATAATGTGCCAGGTGTCTCAACACAACCAGAGCAGCAGCTGAGTCAACACAGCAGGAGATCAAGGCTTTATTTTTTGGGGAATTGCAGCAGTGGAAGAAGGGTGGAAAGTAACCTTTCATGGTGTTTTGTCTAAGAGGGTCACTGAACTATCATGCTTTAAGTTGGACACATTTGTGTGAAGAAATAGTGGAATGAATGAAATTGAAAGTTTCACTCATTTGGGAAACTCCGACATCTTTTTCTACTACTCTTAAGGAAACTAAATGCAGTACAACACAAGGGCACTCCACTGGTAAGTGGCATTAGCCACAAAAACTTGTCACCCTTGTGCTGATATTAGCCTCCCTGCTTATTTCCTTCTTTGCAAGTACTGCAAAAGGAGTTCTGATAAATTAACCTTTAATTCAAAGATTCAGCCCTGAAATATCTTCTACCTTGACATGCTAGCAAAGAGTGATATCAAACTGCCCCTGCAAGTCCTTACAGACAGCAGCTAAACAGTTTTGTAAGAGACTGTATTTTTTTTCATACTCCATCGAAGAGAGTATTTTAATTTATTTTAATATTGTGAAATCAAAAAGTACTTGATTAAATTCTTAAAGACCTGAGATCATAAAACAGCAGAACAGATCAACACATCTGATCCCATTAATTGCTTGACTTTCTAATAAGCAGTTAATGCAAACTGATTCTGTATTCAAACTTGTCAGTAATGATAATAAGAGGTTGAATTGCTTGCAGCAGACCTGACCATGAAAATCAGATCTGGGCCTCCTCCTTAGAAAGTGTATCAGACACAGAGTAAGTGAATCTCACCTTGGGAAAATGAGGGACTAACACCCTGCTAACCACAAATTTAATTCTGTGCTTTTACTGACTTTTAAGAGGGGTTGTTTTGTTTCGCCTGGTTTGGGATTTTATTTAAGTTGCAATTTGGAAAAATCATTCATTAACCAGAACACCGTGGCCTTTGTTATATCATCCATTCTTCTACAGAGACTACACACTAGCCCTTCACTCCCAATTTCCTTGTACTTCACTCACAAGGGCAATGTCACACAGAGCATAAATTTAATATTGTGCTCAGTTCCTGTATAAGTATTTTCTGGTGCTGTATTTAAATGGTCACATATATAAAGTATAAACAAAGGCTAACAGTATCACCGGATAAAAGGATAATCTAGGTTGGAAAGCACCTCAGAAGTTCATCTAGTCCAATAACTACTCAAAGTCAACAATCACTCAGTTTACCCTGAATAATTAGTGATCAGCATAAACTGGGTGGCCAAAGCACACATGAACAAAATTTGAAGTATTATTTAGATTAACTCTTGGCTCATTTCAGTGAGATGACCAAATATAAACAATACATGCTGAAATGGAAACAAAATGTATGTGCACATGCACAGCCCCTCTCTTTTTCTTACGTATTAGAAATTAATCCCTAGCAGTCCTTTGAACTGGAGTTTCTTAAAAATATCTTGCATCAGGTAACAGATAGCATTATCTGTATTTTCCTGGCATCAAGGAGTTCACTTCAAATGTATCTAGTGTCAGAAAACCAGACACACGTAGTCAACAGAGCGGAGTATGTTCAGCTTCACACACTGTGCACGAAATCCAGGCTCATAATGCATTTGGCTAAAAATCATCAAAAAACAGGAATCCAAAAGCAGTCCCATCTTTATACTGCCTTCTGTTTCTGATAAAAGAAACTCTGAAACCTAGTTGGACAAGGGGGGACCTTGGTTTCTAAGGATCTCACAAAACATAATGCCTGTGTACCCATAAGAACAAGAGTCTCACTTTTTTTGGAGCGGGAATAGTTTTTAATCTTGCCAGTTTCATGTAAGTACTGCCACTAGTATCTGCTCATATAAAAAAAAAATAATTTTGTCTTCAGAAAACTCTGACAAGCATAGGAATCTCTGAATGGTAAAAGCAAGCATGTAAGTATGCAACTACAGCTATGGAACTTGAGATACTCCCATCTTCATAGTTCCCACTAATTATGTATTTTTTAAAGTTTTCAACCTTGTGTGAAGTTCTAAGAAGTCAAACCAAGACCCTCACTTCACTGGCCATAATGGAATTCCAGAAAGACAGTAACGGCAAGATATACAACAGCTCAGCAGAATGTAACCATGGCTACACTCTCTTTTGGACAGAACCTAAATCATCATGGTTAAAAATCACTTTGTTCAGGAAGCTTTGTTAACATGAAACCTATTATTAAATCAACTGATTCATATGAAAGTGATTTATAATCATAAAAATTAATAAATCAGAATGAACCTTGAATTTGTGAAAGGGCTCTTGCACTAAGTCTTTAAAAAGACTGTTTTCCTCTGAAATCCGCAGTGCAGAATTTAAACAGGTCAGACTCCTTATTCTACAGAATGGGGTAAAATGAAGATACTGTAAATGTGAAGATTAGCAGTAGCACTGTACCTCATGGTTAGCAAGGAAACACATATAGTTCCCCAAATGAAGTTGTTGTAAGCATTTTAAGACACGCCAGCTAAAACTAAAACCCCACCTAACTTTTTGATCATTGAAAGAAATAAAGAGGACAAAAAAATACTTTTGTTTTTCTCCCCTTTATAGTTGTACAGTTATTCCTGACAACTCAACAGTAACAGGACAAGTGACTTAAATCACAGTATATCATATACATGAAGTACAGTCTCTCAAATATTTTTTTTGCCATCACACTACTTACAGAAACTCATCGCACGGCTCCTTTGAGTAAAATGTTATTTTCATTTACTTCCAGCATAAAAAATTCTTAAGGTAGTCGTCTTTCTTTTAAAGACATATTTTAAATTCAAACCCATCTCTTACCCTAACTTCAGGAATCACCACGGCATTCAGAGGCTTGTCATTGACAGTTGTATCTTTAACTAGCATATATATTCTTTCAGCTTCAGAAAAGCATGAAATTTCAAGTACAACAGCACCTGTAAAAAGGCATCAGAACTCTGTTTTATATTTTATGTTATTATTAGGAAATCAGTATCATCATATCACAGAAAAGTTTACTGAGTTTACTCAGGACATTCTTCAGTAAGTTACTCTGAAACAATTGTGGTTGCTGGTTATCAGTGAATTGCTCTATTTTGGTTTTCAAGCCTTTCTTCATACCCCGAAACAAATCCCAGATTTTTGTTAAAGCAAAGCAGTTTGAGGACAAGAACTGCAGCACAGAACTGATGCATATTTTACGACTTCCTTTGGGCTTCAGAAATATGGCCTATTTCCATACTCTTTATCATAACTAGGAGGCCATTCTCATAATGTAGAAGTGACAAAGGTATCAGGTTTAACTTTGTATCTCATTATTAAAAATCCACTAGTTCCATTCATTGACAGTATCTCAGTAAGAATTATTACAAGCAAACATTTGGTTTGAGAATCAATTTAAGATCTTTATGTTGATTTAGATCCTATATGGGGAAGTTGGGGAAGACAAAAGGGAAAGATAAAAGAAAATACAATACTGACAAGTTAAAGTAAGATATTTCGTGAGGAGGCAAACTGGGCAGGACAAGATCAAAGTGCATAACAGACAGCATATGAGATGTGAGCTGGTAACACAACCTGGCTGCAACCAAAAGTGAGAGTCAGGAAGTTATCAGAAACATAAAAATGCTTAAGAAAGTGAAAAAACACAAAGAAGAATAAAAATCACACGGAAGCAGAAATATCTAAAAAACACATGCAGGTAAACTTGGTTAAATGAAGCTGTGACATGAGAAGAGTATCACAAAAACAACTGTTCTCCACTGACAAATATGAAAAGGAGAAGGCACATCTGAAAGCTTTATGGTTTTCCTTATGAAAAGTCAGTATTAACTAGCCTTGTGGAAACAGCAGTCACACAAAGGAAGCATGCATCAGTCTTCAAAAGCACACTATAGAAAGATTCATTTAGCAGTGATGTGAAAGTTAAGCCTGACAAAGGACATGAAACGTCTCGTATATGGACACCTGAACGTACAAAAGATAAATTCCACAGTTTAAAGTTTTACCAAATGCAGATCTCCACCTGACCACTGCACTACAGCTGCACAGAGCCACTGCTGCTCTGGCTCTCAGAAGCCTCATGGTTTCTCCAACCTTGCTGAAATAAAATTCGTGCAGCGGAAGCAAAGCAACAGCTCAAAGGATAAATGCAGAGATGAGTGTACTGATTTCCTTCAGACGTTCAGCCACTGAACCCCCACTTACTGTAGCAGGAGACAGTGACTGTGACACAATCCCATCAAGTTCAAAAGCAGTACCAAATTTTAGTATCTTAGAAGTCAAAATAAAGAGAGCACTTGAAGGTTTTTTAACAGTTCAGTGGTGTTAGACTACTCAGCTGAAGTACAACTTCAAAACTAGTTTTTATGATGAAATATTACCACTTTCTGGTACACAAAGCACGAAGCAAACCTTTTTATTTTTTTTAGTAAGGTAACACTAATACACTGCTTTTCATAAATATCTGTTACATTTTATCTAAAAGGCTTTTTGCTTATGCAATAAGACTAACATACTCTGAGCTTCGAGCCGCTAGTATTAGGCTGCAGTTTTGAAAACAGACATTGTTTGCAAGACTAAAAATCTTAATGCTTACCTTGTGCTTGATAGACGTGACTCACAGATACTACATTTGCTGCAAAGGTTAAAAATATAAACACGTAAAACCTTGGGTACATTTAGAGTAAATATTTAAAATATTTTTTAAAGTTACATAAATATAATATAAATAAATATTGAGAGTTATATTAATATAGGGAGAACCTCCAGCTAACGCTTTACCTCTCCTAAGTTTACTTGGCAAGTTAGAAAAGCTGAACTGATTTTCATAAAAGGTGACTATGAATTCTTTCTGGCATTTAAAGTTTAATTCCTCTTCAAATTACACAAAAGATTGGGAAAAATGCTTTGTTTCCTGAAACAAAAAGCATGACACATTCCTGACAGTTTATAGAACAAGTTGGTTGAAAGGGTATTATGAAAAATCAATTACACTTCTTTGAAAAAGATATTATTTTCACTGAGTGCTTGCCCATATGTGTGTGTACACACTGCTCATACTTCTCCATGGCCAGGCACAGAGTTCATGAATAACCTGGAGGACAGCCCACACAAAAATGTCAGAGATTAATAAGGGTGAGGAACACACATGCACAGGGAATTGAACTGCATTGCACAACGGTGTAAGGTATGTATGGTTCACTTCTAAAAAGTGATATTTTATCACTAAAAAGAATGGTGTGCTCACAAATAACTCAAGTAATGTAATAATAATTCTGTCCATAATGAGGTGTCACATCTCTCATGTAACCATGAACATGTTAAAATTAACTAAAAAAGCCCCTTGAGGCAGAATGGTATTTCAAATAGGATCAGAAAATGTTAAGAAAAAAAATAATAAAAAGGAGCAATACATGCTACAACATTTTATTCTGTACAAGTGAATATATCCCAAAATGCACCTGTTTACTTACTTTTGATAGCTAATTCATCCTTGAGAATATTTGTGTATTCCTCAGGGGTAAGCTGGGGTGGAAGTCCACCAACAAATAAATTTACTCGTACAATGGATTTACTGTTTTCCACAATGTAAAATCTCGTTTGATTCATCTGACGTATTGAAGTCTACCAAAACAAAGAAAAATACATGACGTGACATTTGGCAAAAAGACATTGTGAAACAAAATCTCAAATAGTTCTGAACTTAGCAATCAAGTCCTCTACATCTAGAGAGTATCAGAAACAAAAACAAACTTTAGCCCAGGCACAGCTTCTCTACAGATGAGCCAGATGGGGTGGTAACTGATTACTTCTTCTGTAAGAAGGTGGACTCCCCACTTGCTATGAAAAAGGATCGTGTTTCTTTTTCAGATTTACCTTTCTTATGTCCTTGAGTCTGTTAAGAATCAGTTCCTGATTATCCAAGACCATGCGCTGAACTAGAGACAGAAAGAACATTAATCATGTTTGAAATCACCTTATTACCAGGCTCAATTAAACTAAAAATACAAAAAAAACTTAGAGAAAATTTGCAGTTCTGTGTATAACTATCATTAACATAAGGAACCATGCAGATCTGAACTACACATTATTCAACAGAAAAACCACGTAGGTGCTTTGAACACTCTGATTTTGTTCATAGGCCTTAACCATCACCCTCTTTTTAAAAAAAGGCAGAAACAGCTTGAAGCCATTCAAAAGACAAGCAGTACTTTGGTAACAAACTGTTTGACAAAAGAGTTTAAAACTACATTCCCTGACAACTACAGTAATAACCAACTTCTGTAATTTATTAAAATATTAAAACAATTGTAACAACTCACATATAAGAGCAAGGCTGTAAATGACGCTTTACAACAGAGCACCCAAAACCAACCAGGTAAGGTAAGACATTCACAAGTCTACATGAATATAAAACATACTGATAATGCTCACAAAGAAAGTAAAGTATCAGGCCAGTATTTGAACTACAAAGACATTTACTCAGGTGTGGCCAGAGCATCGTTAGACTACTTCAGTGGCTTTATTTATCTCTCCCTGAAGCCTTACAAATAATGAAGCAAAAAGGGAAGTGAACTTGGAGAACACTTGTTCACCTCCTCCAGGATCACAACCTCTTGAGCAATGGTATGACTGCATATTTCTGTACTTCACAACATACACACATACTCCATAGACTATCTCAGGACTCAGATTTGCTCGTGTTGGGGGCAGTGTTAGGGGGAAAGAGGAGAGAGGGAAGGAAGCCAACTGAACTTTACAATTAATCTTTATTAAGTAACTGCAGTTAAGAAAATTATGTCAGTTAAAGGCAGCTCCCCAAAACAGAGCTTTTTGCCAAAGTGTCAATATCCACCAGAAACCACCAATAAACCTTTATGTGATGATGACAAAAGAGAAGGGAACCATTTTCCCACAGGACACACAAGACTGAAAAGAACCAATATTGCTTCTGATTAAGTATTTCAACATGATGGTGAACTTTAATTTGTGAATACATTTATTGTAAAAAATTAACTGTGACTGTGTTAAAACGTAAAAAAACCCTAGCAGATCAGTTACAGATGTGCCTTTGGCCAGTGCTCCTTCACTTACCTTGCTTACTGCCCATAAGCACTTCCACCAGTTTGAAATTCTGGAGACACTCCGTCTGCCAAAAGATGCAACGAGTAAATGCAGTTGCTGAATGAAATACAATTTTGCCAGGTGTTTACGTTAATGTTGTTATACACCACACAAGCCCCAGCTGCTGAATGAAATGGGCATGTTATAGCTTCATGCCTCCATACCTGTGCGTCTGATTGAGACTGCCAGTGCCTTGGCACACTTGCAAATTCTACTAACACGTTTCCTAAAAGACATGCTATCCTGGCACCAACTGTAAGAAAGACAGGCAGACTGAAAAGAGATCATCCTCTAAGGAAAGCAGAGACATCTACAACATTACAAGATGTATTTAATTATTTCCAATGAGGTGGGAAGAAATGTACATGGTAAAGAATGTGGATGCCATTCAGCCTTGAGTCCTTCCTTGTAGTCCTTGAGGACTACAGAGATGCTGTTTGTCATTGTAGGGAGAAAATTCCTCTAGTCAAAGTTCAATTAGTGTTCAAGCTGGCCAGTACTGTGAAGGACAACAAAAAGGGATTTTTAAAATACGTTAACAGCAAAAAGAGAATCAGAGATAACGGTTCGTTACTTGATGAGGTTAGTCACCTCACAAATAGGGATGTAGACAAAGTGGAGATGTTTAATGTCACCTTTGCCTTTGTCCTCAACACCAACAACAGGTCCTGGACCCCCGGAGCCCTGTGCTGGAAGACCGTAACTGGGGGGTTGATAAACTCCCAGATGAGCCTGAACTTGCTTGAGACTTGCTGCTCCAGCTGGATGCACGTAAATCTGTACGGCCCAATGGGATTCATCCCAGGGAACTGAAGGAGCCAGCCAATGTCATCGTGGGACCTCTCTCCATTATTTTTCAATGGTCTAGGAAGTCTGTAGAGGTCCTAGTCAACTGGAAGGTGGAAAATGTTGTCCCAACTTTCAAGAAGGGTAAGAAGGAAGACCCTAGTAATTACTGGCTTGTCAGTCACACTTCGGTGCCTGCTAAAATTACGGAGAAGGTTATTCTGGGAGTTACTGAAAAACACTTGAGAGACTATGCAGTCACTGGTCATAGCCTGCATGGGTTCATGAGGCCCTGCTTAATCAACTTTATTTCCTTTTATGATAAGTTCACCCATCTAGTTGATCAAGGGAAGTTAGTGGATATGGTGGTTTTGGATTTTAGTAAAGCTTCTGATACTGTCTCTCACAGTATCCTTATGGATAACCTGTCCAGCACACAGCTAGACAAGTCCATAATATGATGGGTGAGTAACTGGCTCAAAGAGTTATAGTAAATGAGGTTACATCAGTCACCAGTGGGCTTCCTCAGACTTTGACTTTAGGGCCAGTGCTCTTCAGTGATTTTATAAATGAACTGGACACAGTAATCGAATGCACATTAAGTAAGCTTGCTGATGATACTAAGCTAGGAGAAGCTGTGGAGTCCCTCAAGGGTAGAGAGGCCTTACAGAGAGATCTGGATAGGCTAGAGAGATGAGAAATCACCAGCCATATGAAATTTAAGAAGAGTAAGTGCTGGAGTCTGCACCTGGGATGGGGTAATCCTGGTTATAAATACAAATTGGGGGATAAGAGCCTGGAGACCAGCCCCATGGAAAGTGATCTGGGGGTTTGGGTTGATGTCAAGTTGAATATGAGTCAACAGTGTGCCCTGGCAGCCAAAAAGGCCAAGTGTGCCCTGGCGTGCATCAAGCACAGCACAGCAAGCTGGCTGAGGAAGGTGACTGTCCCACTCTACACCGCACTGATGCAGCCCCATCTCGAGTCCTGTGTGCAGTTTTGAGTACCTCAGTATAAGAAGGACATCAAACTATTAGAGTGTGTCCAGAGGAGGATGACCAGAATAGTGAAAGGCCTCAAGGGCAAGACTTATGAGGAGCGGCTCAGGTCACTTGGTTTGTTCAGCCTGGAGAAGAGAAGGCTGAGGGGTGATCTCATATTAGTTTAAAACTTCCTCAAGGCTGGCAGTGGAGGGGAAGATGCTGATCTCTCTCTGGTGGCCAGTGACAGGACACGAGGAAATGGAATGAAGCTGCATCTGTGGAAGTTCAGATTGGACATTAGGAAAAGGCTCTTCACTGAGAAAGTGGTTGGTCGCTGGAACAGGCTCCCCAAGGAAGTTGTCACAGCACCAAGCCTGTTGGAGTTCAAGGAGTGTCTGAATGCTGCTCTTAGTCATATGGTTTAGTTTTAGGCAGTCCTGTGAGGAGCAGGGAGTTGAACCTGATAATACTTCTGGGTCCCTTCCAACTTGAGATATTCTATGATTTCCTTTACAGAGCAGTGCAAAGAAGCAGGAGACAAGCATGATGATCCTAACAGTGACTGCCAGTTTCCCAACAAGTTAAGATTGGCAGTGTAATTACATACAAGTATATTTTCAATATCTCAAGACATAAAGAACCAGGAAAAATATACTACATGCCAAGAATCATTGTGTTCATACAAGTAAATCTGCTTGACCCAGAAAGACAGATGGTAACTTCCAGTACAGAGCAGCTGGGCCCACCATCAAGACTGTAGAAAGTTTTGAGCATCATATCAATCACAAGAGGGCATCTACCAAACATTAGCAACATTAACTGTGAATCGACTGATTATAATTTTTCTAAAGAGAAGAATATATACACTCCACTTTGGGGTCACTCAGGTGACATATGGACATGCTTATATGATCTGTTGTTTACCTGCCTTCCAAGTAATGGAAGCACTTCTTTGATCACAGTCTGTGTTGTGCTATCCTTATTTACTCGTAGAGAAATATATGCCATTCCCACCCTAAAGAGAAAAGAAATACTTATTTTAGGACAATCAGTTGAACTATCCTGAATGTACTTTTTTATCTAAGTGGCAAATTTTCTGTGGGGGTAGGCAGAAATTTGTGTTAGTTGAAGCAAGTTGTTCACGGAGACTCATGGCAGATGCAGTATTAGCCCCACACACAAGCAAAGACTTTCATTTAAAGGAACTGGTCATTATAATTGTAGCACTGAAAATTAGTTTCTTCCTACACAAACTACCTGCACATCTTTCACAAAATTTAGCAATGTAGTTGCTCTAGTAAAATGAACAAATGTTTAAATTTTATCCCACTGCTCTTCAGAAATGAATAGGTCACCAGCCAGTCTTCCTTCCACTGCTAAATATGCTTAAAATGTATATTGTCTCAGCTGTAAATAGCACAGATTCTTTTTCCTTATTTTTCCTCCTAGTGTCACATCAGAAGTTGCACCACATTCTTCCTACTTAATATTTCTTCCAAAAAACCATCAAGCTTTCAGGTGACATGTGTATGCTATCATTTGTTTACAGATTCAGTTAATGTAAAGTTGCATTTTCTTGGCCAAATAATATAATAAAATAGAACTGCACAAGTTTCACAGTATGTTCTGTGCATATAAAGAAACCCATGAGTACATTTCTAGGCACAGAAATGAATAATATGTGTATTACTCATTCAGAAAAATAAACTGAAGAATCCTGAAATACAGAAGAAGAAACTACATTCTGTTATACTTGTATGACTTCAATAACTGAAACACCAGGCTAGACTACAGAAGACAAATGTAGAGAAGCAGGATAACCTTGGGATAAAGGAGGGAAACACTCACTTCAGCCAGGCAGGATAAATTCTGATCACTTCCTCATCCTTTGGTTTGGCTCTTATGACCCAAGCTTCAGGAGTGGATTCGCGGAATACTGAGCCCAAGTTGCTGTCCTCTGCAGCATCATTCCTGTTGATAACATCATCAGACAATAGTGCCTGCTGTGTAAAGGTCTGAAGCTCATACTCCTGCTGGTCATCATTTATGTAGTATGCCCTCAAAGCAGCCTCCTACAACACAGGAAGATAAATTAACATTTTCTTGAAAAGACACCATTAATACCTATATAGCCATAGACATTTATAAATAACTTACTTACAGAACCAACCTTTAATATGTTTTAAGCACAGAACAGTGGATAAACAGAAATGGCAAAAAAACAAAACAAAACAAGAGAGAAGTTCTCAAAACAAATTTTAGTAGAAATTACAAAAAGAAAATTTGAGATATCATTGGATTTGAACACAGCCCACAGTATTTTTGTCAAGCAACAGTCATTTTAACTCCATAGATCAAATTTAAAAATTCAGCATCAATAAAGCTATAATCACTGCATGCAAAATTTACTTTACAAGGAAAATGGTAAATTACACTTGATTGTGCCGAATTTGGCATATTTAATCTTCTTGCACTAAGGGGATGCTGAAAATTAGTGAGCTTCTCAGAAGGCTGCCCTGAACCCACACACCTGTGAACAGGAAAGGTAAGGGCTGTTGTTGGAAAATGCAAGCAGCTACAGGAATTTTACAACCATTACTGGCCTATGACCAAAGCACCTCTGCCAACACAGATGCTGTGGTGAATACAGCCCAGTGAGTCACTCATAAGAACTTGTATATAAGAACTGCTCTGGTATTGTAAGCAGCAGCCTGATAAAACGTGCTTGAAAGGCGAGTAGCACTCCTAAGTGTTTTCACTAAAAGTGTTTTCAGCACTGTGTATGATTTTCCTTGAAAATCTTTGACAGGAAGAACACTGCAAAGAATTTTTAAAACTCCTGTTGATTTTGAGCACACTATCAATATAAAAATCTTAATGAGCTGTAGGTTTAAACTGTCAAAATTCTGATGTAATACACTGTCCAGACTTGTGTGACAAGTCCTTTAAGAATTTGAGCCCTCACCATGCTCAACTGTACTGTGCACCACCCTATATCCCTTCTGGGCTGCATTTCTGCACAGCATTGGGTCTCTGCCCAGCCCAATAAAATACAGAACATTTGATTTAGTACTGAGTCATGTTTTCACCCCAGATGGAGCACTGGAAAAGCTTGGGAGTGGCCACTATGTGATCAATAATTCATTACATTCACAGTCAAGGAGTGGAGGTAACTATGGCATGCTTCATTCTTCAAAGCTCATTAACTGAAGTTCAGTACTGGTGGCTGTCCAGGATAAATGTCAAACCTCTAAATGCTATAGAAGAGGAGCAAGATCTAAGGAGCTGATTATCCAGAATTGCTCATATCAGTAAAATCAGATTTCAGTGTCACACAGGGAAGGAAGACTGCTTTGCATGTGATCTGCTGTGGTCCCCTTTATTCTACAGACATGTAGGACACCACTTCTTCAGATGCTCTAAAATAAGAACACTATGAGAAGAAGTCAAATTACGTTGTATTATTATGGCCTATTTACAGATTTTGTTGTTGTTGAGTAACAATTGTAAAACTGTTAGCTTTTGACTATTGTAATATACAATCATATGTCCCTTTATCACACTGGAGTATTGACCTTCACCAGGTATCTTACCACAACTTCTTCATTTTTTGCAATCCTTGGAACTGAAATCAGTCGAAATTGATTGCGTTTCATTGCATCATTCCCATCAAATATCTTTAATGTTTGTTTACCTGAATGAAAACAATTATTGCATTTCAGTAACACACCCCTCAAATCATAAAGCCTGACTAGGAAGCATATAAACAAACTGTTAAAAACCTGCTTTTAACTCACTGAACTGTTTCTTTGTCACAAGCTTTGAGGTTGAATCTTTTAATTTTTGTTTTGTTACTGTTCATTTAAAACAGGGGTACATTCACGGAGGAAAGCAGGAAGAGCATTTCAAGTAATAATAGTTTTATAAAGGCTTTTGATATAAATGTTTATATATAACTATACTGCTTATGTTATCACTTCTTCATCCTCACCAGTCAAGACTGCATTTTTTATTGACCAGTTCAACAACACGAAAACCAAGACAGAGTGCCATCACCTTCAGAACAGCTCCCAAAGCACTGCCAGACCTGAGCACCTCCTTCTGAAGAAAGTCTTTAGAAAGTCTTTAAAGTACCTGGTTAACTGTACAGACAACAGGAAAAAATACAAGACAACAGAAAAACTAGAAGAAACAAAGTACAGCAACTGAAGAACTACAACCGTTTGCTGTTTCATTTCACTAAAGCCTTCTCAAATCCATGCTTAAATCATGGAGCACAGGCTGTTGCACAGACATCTCTGAAAGGGTGAAGAGTTAAGGATTTCAGGTTCCCTTTTCACACAGATGAGTTAAGACTCAGTCGGGTATAGTCCACTGCAGGACAAAGTTTCTCTCTTTAAGTGACTGTTTTAAGAGCAACAGCAAAGTGTAACCAAATTCACATAGAACAAGCAGTTTTTGAGAGCTTTTAAGAACAAATGAATGTTATCAGTCCAATATGTGTGTCCTTACAGCTTATAAAAAAGGCATCAAGTTAATCAATCCAGACCAAAAAGGAGATTCCAACTAGACAGACCTTGTGTCCTTTGTTGATCACACCCTTATGAAAAGACTTGATGAGCTGTTCAGTTTTACAGGTTCTTTCATGTATTCCCGAGAGCCCATGCTTTACAGCAGACATGACTGATATCATGGACAGAACTTGCCCTTGTTATTGCAGTGTTGGACTGAACTGTTAACAGAAGTCACTCTTCGTTATAGCACAATGTTACAGGCTGATCTCATAGCAAATCTGTACACCTGCATTCATCATAAAGTAATAAAATCACTAGAAGCTACCACTTTCAGACTTCAAATGTTAGAAATAGTAACTAAAAGCCATGTACCCCAGATGTAAAGTCCACACAACTGGTTAATAATGCAGTGTGTTAATACACCTTGTAAAGGAGAGATACATCACATGCTGAAGTCTATTTCCATCTTCCTTTTACAGCTTGGAAATACTTTGCAGTACAGCAGGAAGTACTGAAAGCCTTTTGCTCTCAAATAACATTGGCATATAGGTTCCAAGAACCACATTTGCAAACTATCATTTGTCATAAAAGGGTCAAAAAGGAGAGAAGGAACTGTAGGAGCAAAAAAGCCAAACCACCCCTAACTGATGGCTGAAAAAAGGTAAGCTAGACTCTCATTCAGAAATGTACATCACTGGGTATCTCAATGCTGCGCTGACATATGAGAAAAGACTGCAGCAAGTAATTGCTTTGCAAGGACACTTTAGTGATGTTCTGCTAGCCTTCTAGAGCCACCTGACACGCGAGTAGGCCATGCCTAATCCACCTGTTCCTGTTTCAGTGTATATTCTGTCACTTCAATCAAAGGCAGACACTGTGTAGAACTGAAGCTTCATCCAATACTATATTTAAAAGCAGTCTTTTTTAAATGAGACTCTAACCATCAAAGAAAAATTCTACCTTTATTTCCACTACCTCTACTTCTCATGATTTTGAGATGAAACAGCTACACTTTAAACTTCTTTTTCAATTTAGACTTGTCCACTTAATGCCTTTCTTCATTAATGATTCCGCTGGGTATGGCACAATGTATGTGCAAGGCCATTCTCATTAGGTAACATAAAGACATATTTCCACAGCAAAGCAATCACCAGTACAGCCTCCCATCCTACTCCACATTATAAACAGGGAAGTAAGCCAGGAGTATGAGGAAAGCTCTCGTACACTTCTCTGGAAATGGGCACAGAGGGGCACCTCTCTGCAGTGCCTGTATGCTACTGCCCACAGCCTGGGGCACAACCAAGAGAAACTGGAGGTCTGCATGCCCTTCAGGGCTGCCATATCGGGGCCACGGAGAGCTGTTGTGACAGCTCACACAGCTGGCGTGCTGCCACGGATGGACACGGGCTGTTGAGGAATGAAGGGCTGGAATGGCAAGGAAGGGGCGTTCCTGTGAGACCCTCCAGTGTGAGAGCAGTGGGGACGCTCCGAGCTCTGTCCTGGGACAGATGGTGAGACAGCAAGAGCTTATGGGGAGCGAACAGACCAGTGTATGGGTGATGTTATGGTGGCCGGCTGTTACAAACATCCTGGCTGGGAAGAAGTAGTCGATGAAGCAGGTGATGCCTTTTTCCAACAGCTGCAAGAAGTGTCACATTTGCAGGCCCAGGTCCTCACGGAGGACTTGAGCCACTACCATACTTTCTGGAGGGACAAGACAGCCACACATGAGCAATCCAGGATGTTTCTGGAGCATGCTGGTGACAACTTCCTGACACAAGTGATGAGCCGATGAGGGGAGATGCTTTGCTGGACCCAATTCTTACAAACAAGGAAGAACTGGTTGGAGATGTGAAGTCTGGGGACAGCTCTGGCTGCAGTGGCCATGAGATGGTCGTGTTCCGGAGCCTGAAAAAAAGCCCATTTCTCCCTTTGAGAAAACTGGTCTACTGAGGGCTGAGGAGGTCCATCTGTCAGAGAAAGGGAAGAGCACCTTCAGTCACAGGCTTGCCAATCTGATGAAAAGGGCTTTAAACTAAAGTTGCAGGGGGAGGAGAACCTCCATCCATTCCACTCCTACCAGCTTGATGCCGGTGCCAGCAGTGGGTGCCCAGAGCCTGGAGAGGAGTCACAGGTCAATGAGAGAGCACCTGAGGAGCAGCACAAAGGGATTCCATCCAGTAAGTCAGCTTCACCAGAGGCTCAACTTAAATGCCTCTCTGCAAACACACATAGCATGGGGAATAACGAAGAGGAGCTAGAGATGTGTGCATGCCTGCAGGTCTATGATCTTATTGGCATTACAGAGACGTGGTGGGATGATTCCTATGACTGGAGTGTTGGAATGGAAGGATACAGGCTCTATAGGGAGGACAGGCAAGGGAGATGCAGAGCAGGTGTTGCCACCTATGTCAGTGACCAGCTGGAGTGCATAGAGCTCTCCCTGGTGATGGATGAGGAGCTGACCAAGAGTTTATGGGTCAGGATTAAAGGGAAGGCAGGAACAGAAGATGTTATAGTGGGGGTCTGCTGTAGACCACACGATCAGGAAGACCAAGTAGATGAAGCCATCTACAGACAGATAGGAACACCCTCATGTTCACAAACCCTGGTCCTCATGGGGGACTTTGACCACCCTGATATCTGTTGGAAGGACAACACAGCTGGGCATAAGGAATCCAGGATGTTCCCAGAATGCACTGATGATAACCTCCTTCTCCAGGTGACAGAGGAGCCAATGAGGAGAAGTGCTATGCTCTGGTGAAATGTGTGAAGCTCAAGTGCAGCCGTGGTGCATGAAATAGTGGAGTTCAAGATCCTCAGGGCAGAAAGGAGGACACACAGCAAGCTCGCTAACCCGGACTTCAATAGAGCAGACTTTGGCCTCTTCAGGGACCTGCTTAGCAGCGTAGCATAGGATAAATCCCTGAAGGGAAGGGGTGCCCAAGAAAGCTGGTTAATACTCAAGGATCACCTCCTCCAAGCTCAGAGGCAATGCATCTCCACAAATAAGAAGTTAGGTAAGAACACCAGAAGGCCTGCATGGATGAGCAAGGAGTTCCTGGACAAGCTCAAACACAGAAAGGAAGACTACAGAGAGTGGAAGTAAGGACAGATAGCCTGGGTGAAATACAGAGAAACTGTTCAATCAGCCCAGTATCAGGTTAGGAAACCCTGATAGAATTAAATCTGGATAAGGACATCAAGGGCAATAAGAAAAGCTTTTATAAAAGGAAGACTAGAGAAAATGTGGGCTCACTCTTGAAGGAAACAAGAGACCTCATTACTGGGACATGGAGAAGGCTGAGGTACATAATGACTTTTTTGTCTCAGTTTTCACCAGCAACCATCCAGCCACACCATCCAAGAGGTAGAAGGCAAAGGCAAAGGAGAACTGCCCACTGTAGAAGATCAGACTCAATACCACCTAAGGAACCTGAAGGTGCACAAGGCCATGAGACCTGATGAGATGCATCCGCAGGTCCTGAGGGAGCTGTTGGGTAAAGTGGCTAAGCCACTATCCATCATATTTGAAAAGCTGTGGCAGTCTGGTGAAGTTCCCACTGACTGGAAGGGCAAAAAAATAACCCCCATTTTTAGAAAGGGAAAAAAGGAATACCGGGAGAAACTATAGGCCAGTCAGTCTCACTTTTGTACCCAGCCAGATCATGGAGAGGATCCTCCTGGAACTATGCTAGGGAACATGGAAAATATGGAGGTGACAGCCAACATGGCTTCACTAAGGGCAGATCATGTTTGACAAATTTGATGGCCTCCTACCATGGCGTTACAGCATTATCAGATAAGAGAAGAGCAACTGACATCATCTATTTGGACTTGTGCAAAGCATTTGACACTGTCCCACATGACATTCTTGTCTCTAAATTGGAGATGTGGATTTGACGGATCAGTACTCAGACTCAGTAGATAAGGAATTGGCTGGATTGTCTCACTCAAAAAGTTGTGGTCAGTGGCTCGCTGTTCAAGTGGAGAACAGTGACAAGTGGTGCTCTTCAGGGATCATATTGGGACTAGTGCTGTTTAACATCTTTGCTGGAGACATGGACAGTAGTGGCATTGAGTACACCCTCAGCCAGTTTGCTGATGACACGAAGCTGTGTGGTGTGGTTGACACACTGGAAGGAGGGGATGCCACCCAGAGGGACCCTGACAGGCTTGA